GTATTATGGGGGTGCAAACATTTTGGTTGCATATAATGCCTTTGCCTCACCCAAACCAGGGCTACAAGCGTGCCCTTCCCCCACACATTCTCCGCATCCATTAGTTGTGAGTGTGCCCATGCCTACTCCCCTTCGTGTCTTATTCCAAGGGGATAGAACACAAATGGTGGAAACGAAGACTTTGTGTTAGGCTGGTGGGAGGGGAAATCCGAGGATGAGGAATAACCCCAGAAATCACACCATCCAGGCACGGCTCCCCTCCACCCTGCGCCATGCTGCCCTGGGTGATCTCTTTGCGGGCAATATAGACTTTGGACGCCATGGCCTGGAAGAGAAGTTATGCCCATGGCCACATCCTTTTACCAAGATTGCATGAAATCCAAGAGCTTTGCCTCATCTGCAGCCATCTAGGGTTCAAGGCCTTGGAAATTTACTGGCTTGAGAAGCAAGAAATCTCAGTTCCGATGCTGGCTCTGCCGTGGACTTGCTGTATAACCTTGGGCACATCCTTTAACAGACCTTGGCTGTCATGTTCCATCTGCCCCTGGGGATGACAATGCCTGCTGATGATCACGGACGTGAGCGTGTTTCATGACTTCCAAATCCGTGTGCCTGAGCAAGGACCCATTGCCGCTGGTCTAGTTGAGGAGGGCTGACCACTGGGGACTGGGGGCACATGCCCAGTAGGCCCCTGCTGGGTGCCCGGGGAGCAGTCCCGTGCCTCAGCCTCTGGGAGTCGGGGAGGCTGGGTCCTGGGGGGCCTCCCACTCTTTTTGGAGTTAGAGGTGGAATCTAGGGAGTTGTGAGGATTAGATAAGATACCTAAAGCGCTTGCAACAGTCCCTAACACATAGTGAGTGCCTTCCAAGTCTTTGCCACGATTATTAAGGAAAGACGAGGTGTGTCCGGAAAGTATCCAGCCATGCACCATGAAAAATAGAGAGATTTGTTGAAGAAGATACAAGAAACATTGTACACAGGACAATGACGCCTCCGTCCCCTTCAAAAGGGGCACCTTGGGACCTCACGCTGTTCTCCCAGCGTCTCTTACCCTAACCCGCACACATTCAGCGTTGTCACCTGTTCTGCTTGTTGCAGGCCTTCCAGAACGTGGGTCGCTTTCAACGGACCCTCAACCCTCTTTGAGGCGTCCGTGCCACACTTTTATTTGCGCTGTGCACATCGCATCGTCCCCGGAAGCCTGCTGAATCATCCGAATAGTTTCCTCGGAGGAATGTGCAAGCTTAACACAAAATCGGAGGCAGATTCATTGCTCTGCTCGTGCAGAGATTTTGAATGCGACGGCCACACGGTACACACGCTCGCTCAACGGCAAGTAATGCCCCACTGACTAGGACAGTGACGTCATCATTGTCCACACACGAGAGTGTCCCAGTCCATTCTCCTCGGCTGCCGGGTTACACTGATGTCGTGCAAACCATTCTCGTTCTATTAACAATGGCTGGATACTTTCCGGACAGACCTCGTGCATCCGTGATTCTTTCCTAAGCTTAGAATAGTAGAAAGGAGTTGCAGAATCGAAGGTACTATGCATTGTTTAGGCTTTTGCTGTATAACTGGCCCTGGCCTTCTATTGGTACTTCCACCAGCAATTCATTTGAGAGTTCCAGTTTAGAAAGGAGAGAATTTTCTTAGAGAGAGAAGATGGTTTATATTAGCTAGGATTAGAGTTCATCGTGAGTAGCGTGAAATTCTGAACAACAGCAGTTTAAATAGAAATGTATTTCCCTATCATATAATGGAAGTCCAAAGTCATAGAGTGCAGGGCAGGTGGACAGCTTAAGTCTCCACTGGCTTCCACCTCGTGATTCAACATGGCTACTCAGGGTCCAGCCATCACATTGACATTCCAGCCAACAGGAAGAAGCAAAGAAGGATAGACAATACGTCTGCTTATATCCCATTAGCAAAAACGTAATTACATGGCTGCATATAACTGCAAGGAAGACTGAGAAATACGGTATATTCTAGATGAACAGGAAATGTTCAGGAGTTGTAGTACTAAGGAAGAAAGGAAGAACCGATTTGGGGGGACAACTAGTTGTCTCTGCCATGAAGTTAGCTCCGACTGAGACTAGCACAAATTGTCCATGGAAACAAGACTGATGGTCCACAGGGGCCCATACACAGGGGATGAGCTAGACCATTCTGGAAAACCAGGATATAGGTACAGACGGGGTTTGGGAGGGGTGGGAAGAAGCAGACTAATGTCTGAAACCAATCTCAGGGTAGAGCCATCAAGACTATGTAGAGGCCGGGCACCGTGGCTCACGCCTGTAATCCTAGCACTCTGGGAGGCTGAAGCAGGAGGATCACTTGAGGTCATGAGTTCGAGACCAGCCTGAGCAAGAGTGAGATCCTGTCTCTACTGAAAAGAGAAAGAAATTAGCTGGGCAACTAAAAATAGAAACAAAAAATTAGCCAAGCATAGTGGCGAGCACCTGTGGTCCCAGCTACTTGGGAGGCTGAGGCAGGAGGATCTCTTGAGCTCAGGAGTTTGAGGTTGCTGTGAGCTAGGCTGACGCCATGGGACTCTAGCCTGGGTGACAGAGTGAGACTCTGTCTTAAAAAAAAAAATAAATAAGACTCCATGGAGAGGCCACTTATCTGCCTATTTTCTGTTGTTCAATGTGGCTTGACTGCATGGCTTCCCCCAGCTTACCTGTCCCCAGCTCACCCTCCTACCCTGTCCCTCTAGGGCAGCTCCCCATGGACCCCATCAGCATCCAGCTGGGCACCCGGAACCTGTGGAGCTGGCTCGTGAGTCTGCTCAGCAAGGACCCCAAATGGCTGAGCGACAAGATGAGCTTCTTCTTCCCCAACATGGACCTGGGCTCCCAGAACGAGGTCTCAGACCCCGAGCAGTGGGTCATCCTACAGCTCAGAGCATTGCACGCCCAAGGTCTGAACACGTGGCAGTCGTTCATCCACTCCGTGTGCATGGAGCTGGAGGTGCCCCTGGAGCTGGAGGTGCCACTGCTGAGCACTTGGGGCAGTGAAGACGGTAAGGGCAGGTGTGAGAGGTGCGAGGCAGCCAGCCCAGCCCCGTGTCACGGGGGGTGGGGAGGCCCAAGAACCCACCTGAGTCACACAGAGAGGGCACAGCTGAGCCAAGAACAGAATTTGGTGTTTCTGGATCATTCCCAAGCAAATTCCCTAATGCCACAAAATCAGCTGGGGCCTGGAGGACCCGTCCTTCCACCTGGCTTCGCCCCGGTCACTCAGGGAGGTAGGAAGCGGGGAGAGAAAGGACCGAGTGACTCCTTCCAAACATAAAATTCCAATTAGCCCATAACGCCCAAGAAGTTTCCTTTTGCAGTGTGGTCAGAAGCTATCACAGGGAGAGACTTCTGACTTCTGCTGATAGGCAGGTTGAACTCTGTTCAGTTCAGTGGGCATTTATTGGGCACCTTCTGTTTTACACTGCACTGAGGGGAAACAGAGGATGCTGGGGGACAACGGCATCCTCGGAGAGCAAGTAGGAACTCACTCAAGGACGCTACCACAAGCAGATGTGGGAATGCAGGGGGTTGGGGGCACATACACACACGCACACACATGTGCATATACACGGTGCATGCATATGCGCAAACATATATACATCTGCACGCAAGCGTGCGTGCACACGCAAACATGCATGCACGTGCATGTGCATAAACGTGTGCATATGCATGCAAGTGTGCGCACATGCATACCTGTGCATGCACACACAAACATGAATGCACATGCATGTGCGCAGACATATACATATGCACCCAAGTGTGCACACATGCATACCTGTGCATGCACACACAAACATGCATGCACATGCATGTGCATAAACGTGTGCATATGCATGCAAGTGTGCGCACATGCATACCTGTACATGCACACACAAACATGCATGCACATGCATGTGCACATACATTTCTGCCCATCACTGCCTTCAAGGCTCACCACCAGCTTTCCCTGCAACAGATCACTGCTCATTTTATTTCCCCTTTGCTGAATACCCACCCTGTGGGATGAGCCTGAGCCAGACACCAGGCCAGAGCTGATCCCCGGGCATCCCGCCACATCCTGGTGGTCTATTATATTCTCCTCTCTCTCGCAGGGTTCCCCAGCCAGCTGGGAGATGATGGAGGAAGCCAGCCTGAATGTCAGCTCCACCATGGTGAGGCCTGGGGCGGTGAACGCTGCTAAGTCCCCACCTCCAAACTGGAGGAGGCTGGTGGGGGCTGGTCACAGCCATTTCCCAGAGACCGTCCTCCTCATCTGTCCCCAGTCCGTGTGCATGTGTGCCACGCCCCTCACTGTGTCTCCCACCTCCTCCCACTCTGTGACTTTCGAGGCTTCAGTCTGTCCTGTTGTGGGTTCCCAGGGGTCTAACCTGGAGCCCCTCGGGACACCTGTTCTCACCTTCCTGTCCCCAGATCTCAGGGCCTGGTCTCCCAGCCCCACAGAGTCAGGCTTCACCAGGAAGCCCCAACCACCCCCTCCCCATTTTCACACCTCGGGCTTGACATCACCCACAACTGCTGTCTGCACCCGGGGAGCTCAGGGGGTCGGTGATCAAATGGTGGCCACCTACCGATCCAGGGGTCACACTCTAGTCTCAGGACCCTTATTTCTGTAGAAGTGTCAACTTCTTAATTATCGCTGTGCATGGCAGTAATGTTCAGAAAACACCCATCCTGCAATCCCAGCTCCCCAACAAAGCGCAGCTGTTTGTCCAAGTCCCTGGTCCGTGCTGGCCCTCACCACTGAGCTGGCATGACTGTCTGATGGCCAGTGAGTCCCTAGTTAGTATAGGACTCGGCTAAATACGGATGTACTCTCAAATGGGTTCCAGCCCCTCTTTGGGGCCCCTGAACCTCTCTGCGATTCAGCAACTAAAATGCCAACACCTGGCAGGTTGAGGGGCCCGGGCACCGCTCCAGGGGCTGTTCTGCTTGGTCGCCAGTGCCTGGCAGTAGGAACATCCTACTACACTTCTGAAAATTCTTTCCTGGGTCCTCTTCCCTTTCTCCCCCCCCCTTCTTTTTTCTCCCCATTCCTTCTTGTTTTCCTTCTTTCTTTCCCAAACTCTTCCAGAATGGTATCAAAGTGGCTCTTGGAAATCCATGCAATGTGACAAGACTCATGAAACCATTAAGGGAAGTGAGGAAGTGTGGGTGATAAGAAACTGGGGTGCTAAAACATCTTGATGCAGGAGGGAGGTCGCAGGCCTGGGCAAGCCCAGTGGAAGCTTCGCTGCTGTGGCCAGTGGTGGCCGCCACAGAGCTCGTCCTTCCGGGCTGAGAGACAGCCATTCAGTGCTTGGGGCTGAGTGTCAGGGGGGCTGCTGGCTGTGGGCCCTGCTCCCCACATCCTGGGCTGGGAGACCCCCCAGGCACAGAGCCTCCAGCCCTCCTCCTGGGGCCGGCAAGCCCTCTGCAAACGGAAGCTGGTGCAGCCTCTGCCTGCCGCCTGCCTGGGGCACGGAGGTCCCCCAAGGTGCTGGGTACCCCCTTGGCCCGTGTCCGCAGTCCCACCCTCCACCCTGCCCCTGCTCTTTTTCAGGCCTCAAGCGCCCTCATCAGAGCTACGGGTCCTCCCCTTGCCGGAAGCAGAGCAAGAAGCAGCAGCTAGGTGGGTGCCAGGGCGGGGCGGGACCCGGACGTGGGGATGGGGTTGCCTCGCAGCCAGGACGCGGACTCTGGATGCTGTCCCCTGCCAACAAGCCTCCAGGGTCCCAGTGACTCTCCACGTCCAAGCTTCCAGGGTCGAAGGGTCAGAGGTCCTGGCGATCACAGGAGAGGGCCGGGTGGCAGGGAAGGGCGTCCCCCGCCAGGCTGCAAGGGACTTCTCCAACAACGGCTCCGCAGAAGGAGCCGGCCACACAGCAGCAGGCTCTGCCAGGGACACCCTGTGTCCTCAGGGCTGAGGAAGCCCCAGGCAGGGGACCAGCATGGCCAGTTTGGGGGGTGAGCAGGGATGGAGAGTGATGCGGATGCCTGGGCGAACCCTAAGAAGAGGCCCTGGGGGCCCACGGGGGGACATGGGGCTGCAAAGGGCTGGCCATGTCGGGGGGCGGAGGGGAGAGAGAACTTCTTTTGTTCTTGACCAGTCGTCCGGAATGTTCCGTGTTCTCGGCTGGTTGTCCTACTAACTGGAACTCTCCCCACCCCCACCACTGCCAACCATTGGGCGTAACCAGAGGACTCACACCTGTACAAAACAGGCCACCACCTCAGCCACCTCCCCAGTCTCCCCTAACGGTGGTCCTAGTCCTTCCCCTGGGCTACCTGAGACCTCCCAGTGACCTGGGAATTAAAAGGTTAATACAGGGCACTGTAGGGCCCAGCTCCCACAGTTCCGATTGGTCAGTGCCTAGGCCCATGGACTGTCAGCCTGGGCGTTGCCCTGCAGAACTGAAATATTGGAGAGGGACACAGGGGACTCAGATGTCACCGGAAGGGGCTATTCCAATAAAATGTTGCAAAGTGCCCCATTTCCCGCCCCCGCACCCCCCACCATTACTGAAAGCCTTATAGCATGTTTACTGCTGCAGAATGAATAGAGCCGAGACCCTCACTTCCCCATCCCTGCTTCCCTCTTTAAATGACTGCCAGAGCCTGTGCTTCTGCAGGGCCGATTGCTTCTGGGAATTTGGGTGGCACAGGACCCCCTCTTGTGCTCTTGGCACCCCCACCCCATCGCCCATGCATACATAGCTGGGGCTAGAGGCTCAGTGATGGGGTGGGGGGACGTGGCAGAGGGCCAGGGCCTCCTGCCCTCATGCCATCTCCCTGCCCCCTGCAGAGCTGGCCAGGAGGTACCTGCAGCTCCTGAGGACCTCTGCCCAGCAGCGCTATGGTGACAGACTCTCTGGGTCGGGGCAGCCTGACCTTGCCTCCCAGCAGCCCTACATCCCCCCGATCCTGCAGTGGGCGCGAGCCACAGTGCCCTTGGACGCTCAGCGGGGGGCTGGTATGGGAGACATCAAGGCAGAAGATGGCACTGACGTGAACATCTGGGACCTCTTCAATCCCAGGACCAAAAAGGGCCCAAGGGTGACAGTGCTCTTGGGGACGGCTGGCATGGGCAAGACCACGCTGGCCCACCGGCTCTGCCAGCAGTGGGCTGAGGGCCAGCTGGACCACTTCCAGGCCCTGTTCCTTTTTGAATTCCGCCAGCTCAACCTGCTGACAAGTTTCCTGACGCTGCCCCAGCTCCTTTTCGATCTGTACCTGCGCCCCGAGTCGGGCCCCGACGCCGTCTTCCAGTACCTGACGGAGAACGCGGGCCGAGTCCTGCTGGTCTTCGACGGGCTGGACGAGGCCCTCCAGCCCTGCTCCGGGGGGGACCCGGGGGCCCCCGAGGGCCTGGGCCCGGCCCTCACCCTCTTCTCCGGGCTCTGCGCCGGGACGCTCCTGCCCGGCTGCTGGGTGATGGCCACCTCCCGTCCCGGGAAGCTGCCGCCCTGCCTGCCCGCCGAGGCAGCCGTGGTCCAGATGTGGGGCTTCGACAGTCCCCGCGTGGAGGAGTACGCCAGCCGCTTCTTCAGCGCCCAGCCCTCCCGGGAGGAGGCGCTGGCAGAGCTGCGGGGCAACGGACGTCTCCGGCGCATGTGTGCGGTGCCCGCGCTGTGCCGCGTCGCCTGCCTCTGCCTCCGCCATCTGCTCCCCGACAGCGCCCCGGGCCAGTCTGCGGCCCTGCTGCCCACCGTGACTCAGCTCTACGTGCAGATGGTGCTCGCCCTCGGTCCCCCCGGGCGCCTGCCCACCGCGCCCCTGCTGGGCCTGGGGGAGGTGGCCCTGAGGGGCCTGGAGGCCGGGAAGGCTGTCTTCTATGCAGGAGACATCCCTCCATCCGCGATGGCCTTCGGGGCCGCCCACAGCCTGCTCACCTCCTTCAGCGTCTACACGGGCCCCGGGCACCTGCAGACGGGCTACGCTTTCGCCCACCTCAGCCTGCAGGAGTTTTTTGCTGCCCTGTACCTGATGGCCAGCCCCGAGGTGGACAAAGACACCCTCGCCCACCGTGTCACCCTCAATTCCCGCTGGGTGCTGCGGACCAAAGCCAGAGTGGGCCTCTCGGACCACCTCCCCACCTTCCTGGCGGGCCTGGCCTCCCGCGCCTGCCTCCCCTTCCTCGGCTGGCTGGCAGAGCGCGACGGGGCCTGGGTGGGCGCCCGGCAGGCTGCTGTCGTGCAGGCGCTGAGGAAGCTGGCCACCCGCAAGCTCACGGGGCCCAAGGTCGTAGAGCTGTGTCGCTGCGTGGACGAGACGCAGAAGCCTGAGCTGGCCCGTCTCGCTGCCCAAAGCCTCCCCTGTCAACTGTCCTTCCACAACTTCCCGCTGACCTGCGCCGACCTCACCAGCCTGACCGGCATCCTGGAGCGCAGGGACGCCCCCATCCACCTGGACTTCGAGGGCTGCCCCCTGGAGCCCCGCTGCCCTGAGGCTCTGGAAGGCTGTGGGCAGGTGGAGAATCTCAGGTGAGTACGGGTGGGGAGGACCGGGGAGGGAACTGGGCTTTGGGGAGAGCACCAAGGAGACTGGGTAAGAATCTGGAATAGCAGAGCAGATGGCCCTGACTGCCCCGGCCTGCGATGCCCTCCCTGCCCGACGGTAGCTCCAAGTCCAGTCCAGTCCCTCCCCCGCCTGGTTTCTGGACTCCCAGCCTCTCCCCCTCCATCCTGGGCTGGAGCCTCCGTCCAGGCTGTGCTGCTGGAGGCTGTTTGACTTTAGGCAGGTCACGTCACCTCTCTGGGCCAGAGTTTCCTCGTTCCTAAAATAGACTCGTCATAATTAAGACCTAACTCCCAGAGCAGCTGTGAGAATGCGACGGGATAAATGCACAAAAAATTCTTAGCCCAGAGCCTGGCAAAGGCTCAATAGACATGTTAGCTAGAGAAAAGGCAACGCTGCAGTTAGAGAAGCTTCCCAAATACAGTAGACTAAGTCATGTAGAGCATTATTTCTATGTCATGGAAGAGCTAGTGGTAAGTGGTCTGGGTCGGTGGAATGGCTCAGCTCCATGTGATCACGCAGGGACCCAGGTTCCTTCTGTTGTCGCCCCGCCATCCCCTTGGCCACCCTTGTCTGCACAGTCAAAGCTGGAGCTGCAAGGGAGGCTGGGAAATGTCATCTCTGGCTGGGAAACCAGGTTCCCAGTTATAGCTCGACTGCTACAGATGGAGTGCAGAGTGGATTTTGGTGGACAATGAGCAGTGTCTGCCATGAAATGTGTTTGTTACTGCTGCTGCTACTATGATAGACCGCATCCGTCAGGAGGGGTTGGTGGTGACCTCTAGCCCTGCCCAGCGCCGATCCTCTGCCACTTTGCTTCTTCCCATTGCAGCTTTAAGAGCAGGAAGTGTGGGGACGCCTTTGCAGAAGCCCTCTCCAGGAGCTTGCCAACGATGGGGAGGCTGCAGAAGCTGGGGTGAGCCGGGGCTTGGAACGGAGAAGGGTCTTCATTCGGCAATGCCTGGCACTCTTCTCCCCTCCCCCCGTCCTCCACGGGGCAGATCCCCAGCCTGCCCCCTGCCCCATTGCATTCCTCCCCACCGTCTTTGCTCACCCTGTAGGCTAGCAGGAAGTAAGATCACTGCCCAAGGCATCAGACATCTGGTGAAAGCTTTGCCCTTCTGTCCACAGCTGGAAGAGGTCAGGTGAGTGATCTCCAGGACGGCTCTCTGGCTGGGGACAGGAGTCACTGCCCGGGGCTCCATTGGGGCCAGGGTGGGTCCTGCATAGTCCATCAGAGTCTGATCACTCGTTGCATGAAACATAAGCTGGTCCACAGCCCCTGTCGTCCTCTTGGCTGGGTGTCTTTGTACAGTGACCACTCTGGTCAGGACAAAGGTTTGGAAATATTGAACTTGTTGGCAATTTTCTTTCCTGATTATTGAGAGTGACTTTAATCTTGTCTCCCGTCACCCACCATTGCTGTCAATCACCCTGACTCATCCGTCCCCACAGCTAGGAACCCAAGCGAGGCTGGGTTGTGTACTCCATTTGACAGATGGGGAAAGTAGGGTCAGAGAGGAATGTGCTTGGCCTGGGGCTCTGGATGAGTCTAGAGTTTGCTCATCACCTGCAGGCCAAGAGGCCCTGATGGACTTGGGCCTTGGGCAGTTCCCAGACATAAGCCCTGGGAGAAGGGTGCTGGGTCTCATTATTCCACCTCATGAGGATTTCAGACTATTGTCTAGATCCCTTGGGCCACTAGGCAGAAACTCTCCCATAGGGGACAAATAGGGACAGATGTGAGACCAGCAGAGGGTCTTTCCTCCTAGCTGTGCCTGCTGGGTGCCAGGGAGGAGGTCAGCAACTCTTTCTGGGCCCCTGTATTATGTCCCCATGTGAGAGTGGCAGTCCTGTCACCTGCCAACTGGGGCTTCCAAGTACCCCATCCCCAGGGCTGAGAGACTGGGCCTTGGTGTCCTTGCAGTTTTCAGGACAACCAGCTCAAGGACCAGGAGGTGCTGCACATCGTGGAGGTACTCCCTTGCCTGCCACGGCTCCGGAGGCTTGAGTAAGTGGTCTGTCCATGCCCCTCGAAGCCCAGCCCCTGTCCCTGCCTCCATCACCCCCCTCCCTTGCAAGACAAGGAAGATCTGGGGTCCTTGGGATGGAGAATTCACTCCTGACTCCTTTGTCTCAATCTTGCAGCCTAAGTGGCAACAACATCTCTGTGTCGACCCTCCTCTCCCTGGCAAAAGTGGCAGTCACATGCCCTACCATCACGATGCTGCAGGTCAGGTGAGCAGAAGGAATGGGATCCTGGCCTTGGGGACTTTGAGAAAAGGGGCGGAGGATATGGGGAATGGGAAAAGAAGAAGGCTCCAAATCTGAAAGTTAGATCTACATGTGCATCCCCAAGTTTGTTTTACTCACAACTGTATCTTCGGAGCCTCGCTCAGGCCTGTCACCTGGTATTCAATAAACAGTGAGTGGATGGATGGATGCATGAACGCATGGGCGCATGGAAACAGGTGCGGCCAAAGGAAGCGGTGCGTGTCGCTCTCCATGGTGCTGAACCAGCATTGCCTGTTCAAATCGTAGGGTAGGCTGGGCGTCATTCTTCTTAATCCGAAAACACTGGCAACTTCTGTTTTTTTTTTTAAAAAAAAACTCTTAGCTTCCCTAATTTTTCTTATATCTTTTATAAAAAATTGTTTCCCTGACTTTTTGAAACGCTCCTGCAGGATTCATCAAATAATGACACAGTCACGATTTTACATGCCTGATTGGGAGCACTTTGCCAGTTCTGTTGTGTTTCTCAGTCCGTCATGAAGTCAGCTGTCTCTAGGTGTTTGGGGCAGGAAGTGGTTTGCAGGTGGGGGGTGACGTGCTGGTTCCCAGCCCTGGGGGGTTCATGGCTCGGTGTCTGACCCTGCAGGGAGGCGGACCTCATCTTCCTTCTTTCCCCGTGTGCAGAGACGGCAGGAGAGCTACAAAGGTAAGAAGCCAGGAGGCGACGGGTCTTGGCCCATGCTGAGAATTAACCTGGGCCCAGGCGGTTGAGGGGAAGGGTGGCTCTCTTAGAGCCCAGGAAGAAGAGCTAGAATATGGAGGCTCTTCCTGCTACTGCAGTGCTGAGAAACGAACTACTGCTGAGAGTTGGCGAAGGGCTTTAACTTCCTCGAGCATGTCTGGAGCACATCTGGCTCCTGTGGGAGGCGCAGCATCAGAAGTCTCGGAGTGAGCCAGACTCAGGGAGCACATACAGATGCCGTTAGCCTGGCAGGACTTGTGGGGGAAACTCTTACCACTGAAGAGAAAGGGGGAGAGCTACGATGGTACCCGCATCTTAGGGTTGTTCTGAGAATTAAAACAGTGGAAACATGTAAAGTGCGGTCGGCACTCAGCTGCTGGCCATTCCAGCTGTGCACAGATTCCAGCTTGGTCAGTCTTGGAGGGGGAAGACAGGGGAAGCTACTTTCCCCTGGAAGAACATTCCAACTGCGCCCCCCACTCTCCTCCCTAGCTGAGACTCAGAGACAGGTGATCTGTGTCCTTGAGCATTCTCTGTCCCTGCTCCGGCCCCTGATTTCCTTACCTGTGTAACGACCCGCTGGGACCAATGTCGCTTTCTTCTCCAGCCACTTTGAGCTGTGATGCCCAATATGAGTCACTTAGCCCCATGTGGCTATTTCAGTTTAAATTAATTAAAATGAAGGAAAATGAGATTTTCAGTTCATCAGTCACATCACCCACACTTCAAGTGCTCAGAGGCCATGGGTGGCTAGTGGCTCCCATGGTGGATGGCAAAGATGCAGGACGTTTGCATCACTGAAGAAAGTTCTGTTAGCACCGATCTAGAAGTGTGTGGAACCTGGCTCGTAGCACCTGAGCTTCCCTGAATCCTCTACCGCTCCCCTGGCCCCATAGGAGAGAGTCCAGGTTTTCTCACCGCCTGGCCCCACTCACATACAGCTCACACTCCCTGCCTTCCAGACTAGGCGGCCCGTCTGTTACACGCATGGCGACCCTCACATCATAGACGGTAGCAGCTCCTGTTTACTGAGCTTCAGTTTAGTGCCCATGCCGTGTACTCGAACACACAGTGTCCCATTCCACCCTTCAGGTACTCTGTGTGTTAGATGTTGTCATCCCATTTTTAGAAAACAGAAGATGGAGGCTCAGAGGGGTGAAATGACTTGCCCAGGGCCACAGAGCCACACAGGACAGAGCCAGAATTTGAATAAAGGTTCCATTTGATCTCAACACTTTAATTCCTGCTGCTCTTCTGCATAGTACCTGAGCACTTGCAAGCAATCGTCTTTGTTACTGATTCTCTGTGGGTTGTGCTGGAGCGTCTTTAGCCTTTAGAAGCCAAGGAAAGGGGCGTGCATGGTCTACCAGGCCCTGGACTCCTGAGCCCAGGCCAATGCTTGGTTTGTTCTTGCCAGAGCTCCAGACCTGCAGGAAGATGACAGCCAGAGGAAAGGGGCTCAGAGCAGAAGCCTGACACTCAGGTATCTCGGGGGATCTATTGTCTTAAGGAGAGGGATATGGGGGAAGACCCAGGGGAGGGATGGCAGGAGCAGGGAGGACTAAAAGCAGATGGTGGGAGAGGGAAAGGCTCTGAATAACCCATCCTGGCTTAAATAAGAAGCATCTGTCATAAGAACAACAATAGCAACAATCTAAAGGACCATTGCTATATAAATGCTGGGCACTATGCTAAATGTTTTATGCACATGACCTCATTGGAATCCTTTTAAAATCTCTGGGAAGTGCACATTATTATTCCCATTGGATAGAGGAAGAAACTGAGTCTCAGGCAGGTCAAGTGCCTTGTCTAAGATCACCCAGCTACTAAGAGGTGTGGCCAGGACTAGACCCTAAGTCTGTCCCTCGAGGCTGGAGGGGTAATGGTGTAGTTTTTTGTCCTAAGCTCCTCTGCCCCCACCTGTACCCCAGGCTTCAGCAGTGTCAGCTCCAGGTCGATCATGTGGAAGCCCTCGTAGCCCTGCTCTTGGAAGGCCCCCGCCTGGAAGAAGTTGAGTGAGTATCATGCGAAGCCCTGTGGCAGGAGCCAGGAGGACAGGGTAGGGCGGAGTGGCAGGGCCTCCCTTTGGGGTGGGCGATGGGGGGAGGGGTGTGCTGGCTCATGAAGAATTTGGGGGAATGAAGTGATCACAACAGCTGCCACTATTTAGTGCTTGTCCTGTGTCAGGTGCTGGGCTAGCGACTTTGAGCCCATCCCCTCATTCAGTCCCCACAAGTCTGTCATGTAAATACTGTTGCTATCTACATCTTATAGAGGAGGAAATTAAGCCACAGAAAGGTAAATTTGCTCTGGGTCACACAGGCAGGAAGAGTCTAGGCCAGCGGTCAAGCCCCAGGCAGTCTGGCTCCCAGCCTCATCCTCCCTCACCGTACTGCCACCTCTGTCACCGAGGTCTCCAGGGACACCACACCTGGGTCTGCTTTCCAGACCACAGCCCCTCAGCCCCACCCCCCACTCTCTACGCTGTGTCTTTCTCCCAGAGTAGAGTGGGATGACCTCCTCTTTTCAGGATAGAGAAATTACCACGATGTCCAGTTCTTGGGCAGAGCTGATGAGAGCAGGGTTTGGGGATGGGTAGAGGTCCTGTTACGTCACCAGGAGGGGTTCCCTCCCAGGAAATCTCCAAATGGGCATGAAAGTGGGGTGATGGAATGCGCTGATGTGTTCTGGGGGCAGTGGCCCCACCAGAGCGTGAGGTGGATGGGTCACCCCATGGGCTGCCTTGGTGATCAACTCTTGATCCTTGACCTACTGGGAGAACCAGGATAGGATTAGAAGGTGGCATTTACCAAGCTCCAATACTTCCAGCCACCTCCCCACCACTAAGGCTGCTCCCCCCATCTCTGTCACCTGCAGAAAGAGTCCCATCGTCCACGTGGTCACACACACCAGACCCCGCACAGCTCCCTGCCTCCCCTCACGGCCGGTGCACCCTGGGTCAGCTCTCCACCTCAGCAGCTCTAAACCATCCTTCTCTTCCACCTCCCTCACCCACACCTCCCTCATCTCTCTGCTGGAAGACCCCCTCGGCCTCCTTGCTGGTGTCCCTGCTGTCACCCTGGCACCTGCACCTGGCAGAGTGATCTGCGTTTCACTGATGCCCCCTTCGCTCCTGCCCACTGCTCAGGATAAAGCCCACCCTGAAGTCCTGGGCAGTGCAGAGCTCTGTCCCCCTCCCTGGCCCCATCGCCCCCCATCTCCAGTTCAGACACGCGGCTCCCATTCGGGATGAAGTATGCCCATAGTCGTGGAAGCATCTAGGGCGTTGCCAGGCATGTGGCGTGCAGTCTGTCCACTTTAGTTATTATTAAGGCTCATTCAGGGGAGTGACGCTTTGCCTGAAGTCACCAAGGACTGCGGGCGTGCTGGGGCTCGGGGACAGACTCTCCGGCCGGCAGTCCAGGTCAGCAGGCCCTTCTGTCTCAGCCTCTCAGGGAACCATCTGGAAGACGAAGGCTGCCGACTGATGGCAGAGGCCGCGCTCCGGCTGCACATCACCAGGAAGCTGGAGTGAGTTGCCCGCCCCACCCCTGGGCAGCAAAGAGGGCCCCAGAGAGCCCCGGATTGTTCCTGCCACCCCGGTCCCGTGCCCATAGTGCTGACCCGCTGCCACCCCCACCTCCTCCCACCTCCTGCCAAGTTGGGATGGTTTGACTGCACCTTGCCTTTGCCTCTGGCCCGGGCTGCTGTCTCGGTTCCGATCATTTACCCCCCACGTGCGTAGAGCGTGTTCGTCGTGCACCAGTGGCTCAAGTTCTAGGTCGTCCTTGCAACAGCCCCTGTGTGGACTGGGGTGGGGTGTTGGGTGCATGGGTGTGGGGTGTTGGAGTGGGAAGTGGGGTGTTCGGGTGCGGGTACAATGTTGGGGTGAAGGGGTAGGTTGTGGGGTGGGGGTGGAAAGGAAGGGCATTAGGCTGCTAGCTGTGCTGTGGCGCTACATGCATGGGGTGGTGTGTTTGGGGGAGTGTATGGGGGTCTTAGGATCGTGTGGGTTGGGCTGGGGGAGTGTTGAGGTTGGGTAGCAGTGGTTTGGGGCTTTGGCTTTTGATTTAAATCCTGGCTCTGTCACTTAGTAGCGTGTGACCCTGGGAAAGTAACTGAACATCTCTGGGCCTCAGTTTCCCCATTTGTAAAATGGGATGACGTGAAACCATATATGTACAAAGCGCTTGGTACAGAGCCTGGTACAATCAGTGCTCAAAAGTGGGCCAGGCGTGGTGGCTCACGCCCTGTGATCCTAGCACTCTGGGAGGCCGAAGTGGGCAGATCGTTTGAGCTCAGGAGCTCAAGACCAGCCTGAGCAAGAGCGAGACCCTGTCTCTACTATAAATAGAAAGAAATTAATTGGCCAACTAGAAATATATACAAAAAATTAGCCGGGCATGGTGGCGCATGCCTATAGTCCCAGCTGCTTAGGAGGCTGAGGCAGGAGGATCACCTTAGTCCAGGAGTTTGAGGTTGCTGTGAGCTAGGCTTACGCCACAGCACTCTAGCCCGGGCAACAGAGTGAGACTCTGTTTCAAAACAACAACAACAACAACAACAAAAAAAGTGGTAGCGATTTTGCAGATGAAGAAACTGAGGCTCCAAGAGATGAAGACTCCATGCCAGTTCTTGCCACTCGGGAGGGAGAGCTTTATTCTCTGAGTGGGGCAGTGCCTCATGCGTCACTCACATGGATCCTTTGAGAGTCCCAGTGACAGCCAGCAGGCTGCTGCACCATGAGGAGGGGGCTGGAGCTGTCTGGGGCTGGGACCTCAGCCACGTGCTGACGCCTGCCTCCTCCTCTCCACAGCCTCAGCGACAACGGGCTCTCGGTGGCCGGGCTGGGCTGCATGCTGCCCACGGTGAGCACGTGCAGGACGCTGGCAGAGCTGCACGTCAGGTGGGAGCCCCCCGCCCCCTGCCCCCCAGAGGTTCCCGCCCCCTCTCTAGCCTGGGGCATGCGCTCTAAAGCCCCTGGAATTCTGTCCGGGCCCAGGCCTTTGGGACAGGTAGGAGATGCTGCGGTGCCCTGCCCAGACCCCGAGAGCCTGCTTCCCGCCCTGCGGGCACCGGCTGCCCCAGCTCACTCCCCCTCTGAGACCTGCGCTTGGCTGGTGGGAGCCAGAGATGCCCGGGAGGTGGCACCCCACCCCCGCCCCCCAACCAGAGTGGCCAGTGAGAGGCAGGGGCTAAAACTCCCCAGCACCTTTGTCCCTCGTGGGGACAAACTGTGGTCCCCTTCATGCTCCAGAGCTCCTGGGGGGTCAGGATGAGGACCTGCCTTGTTGGGCTTCCTCAGTCCTGTACCTGTTTCTCGAGAGAGCCATCCCCCAGCTCACGATGTGCCTGCCCCGCCCACAGGCCCCGCTCTGCCACCAGGGAACCCACCTAAGACGGGGCTCAGGGCTCAGGCTCGTTCCTGCGAGTCTCGCTGTGCAGAAGAGGGATCTGAGGACAGACGCTAATTAATGTCAACACAGCGCCCACTCAGAGCAGAGGGAGGCCCCGTCCTTGGCTCTCAGCTGAGCCGGGTGATCTCTGCTTTAAACACCCGTCGAGGGAGGAGAGAGTAGTTTAGGGACCTTGGTTCACTTTACACATTAATTCAATAAAGCGTCCCAGTGCGTTCCAAATGACACTCCGTTCACGCCTAGGAACTTAGACTAAAGAAATCATGATTGTGCAAATACAGGCAACCGCGAGGATGGTTATAATAGGAGAATAATGGAAATAGCTTGAATGTCTAACAGTTGCATATTAAACTAAGTTACTTCCAGAGAGAACCCAATGGAACCATGACAAAAGGATAATGTAGTTATAGTTTTAATAGGGAAGGATGACTGTGGTTTAGGAAGTAAACATAAACATTTTGATTCATCATCTTAATTCAAAATGCTGAATGGTAGAAAGAATGGTATAGTCCATTCCGATCAATAATAATCGATTATTAATAATTATAATTTAGACCAGCAGTTACTTGTTAAATAAAAAAAAAAGAAAAAAAAATAATTATAATTATTTGTCACCTTTGCTTCTTTTTTTATTTTTCTTCTTTCTTTTCTCACAGCAGTTAGAAACCATGAAAACCCTTGCTTCTTCTATGCCTTAAAAAACTAAGTTTTAAAAGACAATCTATAATTTAATCTTATTTTTTTTTAAGAAAAAAATTGTTGCGTTAGAAAGCGAAGGGTTTGAGGGACCCACTGCGAAAGGCTGGCAGTGGTGACCCATCAGCTGAGCGCAGGAGGACGCCACCCCCAATGCCAGGCGCAGGGACACTGCTTAGCAGAAGGAAGGGGCTCAGCCTGCGGCCCAGAGACAGGGCGCAGAATTGAAGTTTCTTTCGAGGGCTTGCGCGGGAAAGGAGGCTGCTTAGCAAAGATAAGTTTGTGCAATCTCTGTGCAGAAAGAGTTCAGGCTTCTAAAGGTCAGAGGGAGAAGTCAGAGGAAGTGGCCGCAGCCGGAGGCGGGGTGGGAGGGTGGCGGTGGCAGCTGGCACCTGAGAGGCCCCTCCAGGACAATGTTTGGAAATGACACAGAGCGTCAGGGACCCAGTAGCCTCTCACCTCCTCCCTTCCCTTCCCCCTCGTCTCTGCAGCCTGCTGCACAAAGCCGTGGTCCTCACGTTTGCCCAAAAGACGGAGGAGCAGGAGGGACCCCAGAAGAGGTAGGCCCCAGCCTCGTCCCAGCCCCGGGCCACCCCCTCTCCGACCTCCACGCCCCTGCAGTGCCAGCCCACGGCCTGGGAGACCTGGCTGAATCCACAAAGGAGTGGGGAGGGAGCAGGCTTGGCAGAGCATGCGGCCCTGAGGGGCAGAGTCCAAAGGCAGAATGCCCCCATCTTTCATGGTACCCAGGGAAGCCCCGAGGGGTAGGACGGAGACAGCACACCGGGCAGGCGTGGGGTGGCCGGAGAGTGATGTTCTGAAGACTGAGGCCCTTCCGCGCAAGCCCAGAGAGTTTTCCAGCCTGTAGCTCTGATCTTGGTCTGAACATCTGGCTCCCTTTAGCACAAGGACACCTTTCAGGGGTGTCTGCCTCCTCCAGGGTGGCTTCCTGGATTGCCCCAGCCCAGCAGATGGGCAGGGACTCAGTGCTTTGCTCCTCAGAGTGCACCCACGATCTTTTCTGTGGGGCTGAACTGTTGAAGGCTTGATTAGAGCAGGACTGATAGCTTTGGAGCCCTGAGGAGGAGGAGGATGAGCTTAATGATAAGGGGCTGAGGTTAACCGAGCGCTTACTGTGCATGCTCCAAGCGCCGGACTCGGGCACTGCACACACGTGCTGCAGCGAGAGGTCAAGTGGTTAGTCCAGGGTCGCACAACCGGGAGGTGGAGAAGCCAAATTGGAACCAAGGTCTGACCGGCTCCAGGCAGAGTGTGGTGATTGAATGGGGGAAGGCCAGGCTGAGGATCGGGCGGCTGCTCAGCCTGGCCTTGGCGTGTGTCCCTCCAGTGCTGCATTTCTTGACAGTCTCGTGTCCCAGGTGCCCTCTGAGCTGCCCCTGAGCTCCTGCAAGATCAGGTACAGTGATGGCCTCTGAGCCCCAGGTGACATTCCAGCCCCTCCCTCTGCTCAGAGCCTGTCCCCAAAACCAGTCCCTAGGCCCCATATAGTCCTGCAGCAGGGGACACTATGACCTGCTATGTCCAGGGCTTGTGGCCTGGCTTCCCTGTCTCCCACCTCCCCTGCCCAGCCCACCCCAGTCACCTTCTGCAGCCCAGGGGACCCCACTCCCCTAAGCTCCCCTGAACCCAGCAGCTGAGGGGCCATGGGAACTCTGGCCAGAGAGCGTGGGGCGCACTCACCCCTTCTCTCCTGAGCTGGGGACTAGTCCCGGGCTCAGCTCAGCCCCCCGGGGGGCTCCCACCAATGCGCTTCTCACCTTCCCTTATTCTGTGTCTGTCTGATCTCCCTGTCTGTCTGTCTCTTCCCCTCGTTCCTTGTCTCGCTCATAGTTTCTCTTTTTCTAGCACCCCCAATCCTATCTGCCCTCCTTTGGGGCACTCGTGCTTTCTCTCTCGTCTCTGGGCCTCTGCCTTGGTTTCCCTCCCTCTGTCTCTGCCTCCTCTCTGCCCGAGTGTGATGTCCTTTGGGCGTGGTGTCTGTGGGTCCCTCTTTGTCTGCCTGTCTAGGCGCTAGGTGTGCCCCAGCCCCTCCTCTCCTGCAGGCTTCCCGCTCTGGCTGTGACTCGGGGTGGGGCAGGCGCTGCAGGGCTGTGGTTTTGCCCCTCCGCAGGCTGACACACTGCGGCTTCCAAGCCAAGCAGCTACAGCAGCTCTGCAAGGCGCTGGAAGGAAGTTGCCACCTCGGTCAGCTCCGGCAGCTCCATCTCGAGTGAGCGGTTTGCTTGATGAAAGGCCAGTGGGTGGGGTCGTTAGAGCTAGGCGTGCCAGTGTGTCGGAGTCTTGTTTACTTGCTAAGATCCAGGTCCGCCGTTCTTTCCCTGATGAAGTCAGGAACCCCTTAGAGAATCTGGCGAAAGTTGTGACTCTTTCTCCCAAAATACGGGTCCCCCACATTTGACCCCAGGGGTCCGTGAACCTCAGGATCAGAACCCCTCCCCTGGGGGAGACCCCAGCAGTGAGGTCCCCCATGTGAGATCTGGCCTGGCAGCCCAGGGCTGTGTCCCCAGTTTCAGGAAGTCACATGGCTGGAGGGGGGAGGGACGGTGCTGCTGTCCACCCACTCCCACCTCCACTAACGTTTTCGGTCCCTCCTTCCCTGTCCCCAGCTTCTCAGGCAACGCTCTAGGGGACGAAGGTGCCGCCCTGCTGGCTCAGCTGCTGCCCGGGCTGGGCGCTCTGCAGTCCTTGGAGTGAGTATCCCGTGGGCAAAGCCTCTGGGCTTGTCCCCGGCGGGACGGGCGCGTGGGGGTGTTCTGTGCTCAGTCGCCTCCTCCCTGGGGTTGTTGTAGAGATAATCAGGCAGTGCATGTCAACCACCCGCACGTGGTAACTGCGATAAACGGCTAGCTCAACCGTGATGCTTACTCAAATAGAGAACTGGCCCCAGCGTCTGATTCAAGGTTTCACTTCTCCGAGGCCCGGCCCGCACCTGGGCCGGCAGCGTGACATTACTGAGCAACGGCCGGCACCATTCTGGCCCCGGGTACAGGGAGGGGCTGTTGGTAGGGTTAGGACAGGGAAGGCAGGGAGGGTTTGCACCCCAGGGCTGCGGGAGGGTGCTGAGTGCCTGGTAGAGAGTGGGCGTGGGAGGCAGGCCAGGAATCCCCAAACTCTGCCTGCAACATACTCGTGGCACTAAACAGCCCCAGTGCCCTTGGCCCACGTGGCCTCTCCCCCCCACCCTCAACCCCCCAGTGCTTCTGGCCAAAGCTAGAGGAGCCCTGGTGAGAAGTCATACATGGGGCCTGTATTCCAGGCTGGCTCTGCCACCTGCTCTGCTGTGTGACTTTGGGCAAGTTACCCCACCTCTCTGAGCCCCTGGTTCCCAGTCAATAGACACCTAAACTGCAAGTGTGGCCACTGCTTGTAGCTGCCACCTCTGGAGTGAGTGCTGTGGCCTGAGGGTCCCTCCTGCCAGGGAGTCCTTGTTTGGGGTGCTGCCAAGGAAAGTGTCCTCTGTTCCTGTCCCAGCCCCCGAATTGCATGCAGAGGAGCTTTCAGGCACGTCCCCATGGGACCTCTCGATAATGCCACGCCCGGACACGTGGGGCTCGTGAGAGCCTGCGCTCACCCTGGCCGCGTCCCCGTGCCAGAGGAGCGGGGCGCTACGTAGCAGATGAAAAGCACACAACCAGTTGGCAGGGAGACCGCGGGGGAAAGAGCGGCTGTCCGCTTTCCGACCCAGAGCCCGTGTTTCCATGGTGCCCTCGGCACCACCCGCTTCAGCAGGCGGGGAAACGGAGCCCCGGCGCTAGCCCGGGAGCACGCCCCAGATCCGTCACAGCCCAGGGGAACCCCTGGGCTCTCAGCTCTGGCACCCACATGTCACCAAACTGGGGCAAGGCCTTGCCTCTCTACGAGTGGGCCTCGGTTTCCCCACTTGTACGATGAGGGGTCCTCCTGGGGCTCAGTGTCTGGAGCCAGGCACGGCCCTCCCCTGCCCGGCTCCGCCACAGAGGGGTGCGCCGAATCTGGCTGACCCCCGGTGTCGCTGCTGTGCTCTCCAGCCTCAGCGGGAATGGCTGCTCCCTGGGCGCCGTGCTCGCGCTGGCCCGGTGCTTCTCCACGCTGCCGTGGCTCCTCCGCCTGGACGTCAGGTGAGTGAGGGGCCCTCCACCCGCCTGCCCCCCACCCCCAGCGCCCGCGTGGGCCCCCCTCCGTCGTGTTCATGATGTGTCATCCTCGGGGCCTTGGGTGGTGCCGGGTCCGGTAAGCATGTGATGAGTGTCTGCTGAATGAATGAATGAATGAATGAATGAGTATGGCCCCAGGACACTGAGATTCCTTCACATTCATCATGGGGGAGTCCATTCTCCCTTCCTCACCCTCTGACGTCTGCAGAGACTTTTAAGAAAACTGGGAGCTCCCCGGTGGCCACTGGGTGCACAGGGACCTGCCTTCCCCGTGGCCGAGGGAGCTGAGGAGCACGTAGAAGGGAAGGTCCCGGCCGGCCACGTGGCCCCAGGCCATTCGGGGCTCGGCATCCATGGCGTCAGGGGTCTGCCTCCCTCCTCCTTCCCCGAGGATCCCAAAGAGTGGGAGATGCCATTGCAGACGGACGGACCAGGCTCAGAGCAGGTCCCTGGGTCCCCCTGCCTCAGTTTCCTCATCTGTAAAATGGAGATAAGAATAAGTCCTCACCCCATGGTTTTATTGCGAGAATGGAATGAGATACCGTGGGTGGTATGCTTCGTACGTGCCTTGATAAATGCAGTTGCTGCTTCATCTACTTATTGCGATGTTTGCTAGGAAGCAGACCACCCGGGCCCTCCTGGACCCGGCCCGTCTGCTGTCCTGCCGCTGCCTGGGAAGGGCCCCTGCCCTTTCTCAGACTGTCGCCTCCTCCACTTCCAGCCTGGAGAGCCAGCGCATCCTCCTGACGGGTGCCAGGAGAGGCAGGTGAGGAGGGGCGCTCTGGGGTGGGGGCTCCCCTCCTGCTCTGCTCCCCCTGTGCTCCGGTGCCCCCACCCCAGACCCATGCTGACCACCCTTCACCCTGGGACAAACCACCCAGGTCTGGCACTTCTGAAACCAGAACCCCCCCCATAAGGTGTCAGCAGTCAGCTGCCTAATTTCTGTCTTGGAAGGAGGCGGTGCACAGGGTGGGGGTGGGGGGGCGTGCCCGGGCGCTGCAGGGCCGACCAGGTGCCAGCAGATGGCCGCCGCATGGGAGCCGATGGGGAAGCAGTCATGTTTCTGTCTCTCGGGGACTTTTGCAGACTCATGACTTCACATGAGTCACTGCCCTTTCATACTCTGAGTATCGCATTTGAGAAGCCAAGAACCGTTGGCACTTTAGAAAAAAAAAAACAAACGTTCCGCATCTTCGCGGTAAATAGGCAACGCTGGTCTTAGCCCTTCGAGGATGTTCCCAGCTGCCGCCTAGCGGGGTGGCCCCCTGGCGTCACCTGGGAGCGGTGGCAGCAGGCAGAGGCGACCCACGGTGGAGGTGTCCGGGGAAAGTGTGGGCTTTTCAGACAGGTGGGCTGTCTGAAGCCGAGGGTGGCCCAAGCCCAGGTGGTCTTGCGCCCCAGGCTAGGCTCTCTGTTTCTGGGGACCCTCTGGGTTCCTGAAGCCAAAAGAGCTGAGGTCCAGGGAGCAGAGTCACATGAATGCCAGGTCGGTGGTCAGAGAGGGGAGGGCTCTGTCCTGCCTCCCCTACCTGGGCAGGCGTAAGCCGCTGGCTTCTCTCACTCTGGCTTCCCTTGCTGGGCCTCAGTTTCCCCATCTGAACAGTGAGGGGCTGGACTAGGATCTAGTGCCTTGATTGTCTCGAGCACCCTCCAGCCCTGACGTCTGCGTCTAGGAGTCCGGTGTGGGTGACTGGAACTTTCTCCCCAAAGGGGCTTCCCCACTCCCAGGGACACACAGGCTGGGGGACGTTTGCCTGAGATCCCCGCGGGAGCCGAGTTCTCGGGGTTCGGTCAGCGCTGCGCCCCCAGGAGCTTCTGGTACAGTCTCACTCCTTCTTATTTGGGGGTAACCGCAGTGCGGTGAGGGTCAGGAAGGGGACGGAGATGGGGCCTAGAGCTGCGGATTGGGATCGAGGGAAGAGAGTTTGCGAAGAGGGGAAAGGAAGGAGGGCGAGTGTGTGGGCAGCGGGGGCTGCCGGCCCCTTAGGGAGACCGCGCTCCTTAGAAGAGTCCACATTTCTCCGGAGCAAAGAGCAACCCAGCCACTCCCTGCCGGGGGTTGCCACCGGCGGTGGGGCCCGGCCTATCCCCAGATGCACTACGCGTCTACCATGAGGGGCTGCGTGACCCCCACTGGGGCTCCCCCTCTCAGCCCCTGACTTCCTCACCTGAGAGAGAGAGAGACACTTAAGCTGGGGCCCCACGGTTATCCGGAGAGGAAAGCGAGTAGCCCAGGAGGCGTGTCAGTGTGGCTGGAGCACAGGCGGGCAGTGAGGCTGTGCTGTTAGCCTCGGGGTAATAGGGAGCCACAGAATGTTTTAGGCAGTGGAGGGGCCTGGTCAGATTCACAGTGTTAACAAATGAGGCACTTTTGCGATGGGGGGTGGTTTCAGGGAGGCGAGAGTGGACGCCAGGAGGGTGCTGAGTGGTCCAGGGGAGTGCGGATGGTGGCCTGGGCTCAGGCAGGGGTGGCGGGAAGGACTTGGAGAGTCACAGGTGAGGGCAGCTGGGCACTCAGGGTCCTCTACTGTCGCTGTCGTAGTGTGGGCGGGGGACAGGGGCTGTTGGGAGACTTGCTGGGAGAGGGGAGAGTGGCCTGCAGCTTGGGGTGAGGGCTACCAGGAGGAGGAGAGAGTCCCTGGGGCCGGACAGGGGCCCTGGGTCCTCTCTGATGCCCCGCGCTGCCCACTGCCCCTTTTCAGCCTCAGGGAGTGTCAGCTGGAGCCCCTGAGCCTCCACCAACTCTGTGACACCCTGGAGCAGTGCCCGGGGCCACTGGAAGTCCAGTAAGTAACCAAGACACCACCCGCAGGGCACGATGTGGGCCTCTGTCTAGTGACCAGGGAGGGGGCTTCCTGGTGAGAGGTCGGGTGAGAATTTCGAGTCCCTTCCCAGCAGCCCCCAGCCTCAGACACCTCACCCCCCCCCCAGCTGGGAGGTGCTGGACTGGCCCTGGGGGGGCTGTCACCTGCCCCGTCCATGTCCACTCAGCTCAGGGCATGTGCTGAGCCCCACCCCAGCGCTCCCTCGGGCCTCGAGGCTGGAGTGTATCCTCAGGGCACCTCCTCTGCCCCCGGGCTGGCCGCCTTACCCGCCCCAGGACACCTGGGTCTGTGACCAGAGACTGGACTCGGAGTCGGCCCCCTGCAGTCTGGGTGACTTAGGGCTTCAACTCCCTGGACTTTGACATTGTTTGACGGACGTGGGCTCTCCCCGTGTAAGACCCCTGCAGCGAGCGTTTGTCTCATAAGTACACAGCATGGCTTCCCCTGAGTGTCCAGACACGTGGGTCCAATCCATATGCTAGTAAGCGACTTCAGAATGGTTTTAGACTTGATTCATGAAAAGACTGCAAGGAGAGTTTGGAGAGTTCCCTCACCCAGTCTCCCTAGTTATTAACATCTTACGTCACCGTGGCACACTTGTCGCAATCTCGTAGCCAGACTTGGTGGCATGCACCTGTGATCCCAGCTACTAAGGACCCCATGCCACCCCTGGGACAGAAAATGTGCAACTGGGGCCCTGCAGAGGTTCCACAAGAAGCTTCCGGCTGCAGAACCACGGGCTGCTCCCCCCACCCAATCCCCCACCCAGGTTCCCCGCCACCCACCCAGAGATAAAGCGGGGGAGGTGGGCCCAGCAAGGGAGGGCGAGGCCTGCAGGGGGCAAGGGAACTGGGAGGGAGGGAAGAGCAGGCGGCAGAGGGAGATACAGTCCACAGGCCTCTGGGGGTCTGCAGGCCTCTGGGGGTCGGGGAGCGGCTCCTAGGCCCAAGGGGAGGAGCCACATGTGACCCCAGGGGACACAGAGACTCTAGCTGTCACCATTCTCCAGCCAGAGCAAAGGCGGAAGGGTGACTGTCTGGAGTTTCTCCTGAGTGCATTGGGTTCCGATAAATTATTTGGACAAGTACGGAGCTGGGCGGTCCGGATTTGATGGGCACGCAGAGCCCAGGCCCAGCCCGCATTCCCCCTTCGCTGCCCTGATGATGCTGGATTGCTAGGACCGTATTCACTGCCTTGGCTCAAGGCGGCATTCTCTTCTCAACAAGCATGTTCCGCAGAACACTAACCTTCATGGCCCTCAAATAACAGCCCTGCTGGTCCATCTGGTTTGGGAAAAAGTCTGCCATAGCCCCTTGGAAAGTCATAATCCGCAGCACCATATTAAAGGCTCAGGCAAGTCCTGCAGCCGAGAAAACTAATTTGGTTTAACCCAGTATTATGCAAATCTGCAAGATTGTCCTCTTCTTCCAGCTCCAGGGATAACTCAAGGACTCAGTGTTGGGGGGGGAATGTCTTGGGCAACACTGGTTAGGTCCCATGTCCAGAAGGCTCTGGCTGTGAGGCCAGGCTCCCTGCTTTTCTGGAAGTTTCCCTGCCTGATTCTGATGCTTTGCTTCACAGACTGTCCTGTGCGGTCCTGAGTGACCAGAGCCTGGAGACCCTGCTGCAGTGCCTGCCCCGACTCCCTCACTTGAGCCTGCTGCAGTAAGACTCCCCATTCCCTGCGCCTGCGTCCCTGACCCTCAAGTATTGCAAAACCCTTCCCCTCTCCCCCTCCTGCTTTCCCTGGGGCGCTTTCTCATCATTCTATCTGGCACAGGTGGGGACTCAAATCTGCTTCCAGCTCTACCCTAGCACTTCACCAACTTGGGGAGGAGGTAAAGTTATTTTCCTCCCCTGGGTCTCAGTTTCTTCATCTGAAAAATGGGGTTAATATTCCCCAACCCCTCTGCAGGGTTGGGACTCACACAGAGTCCTCTAAAAGCACCTTAAGATTGGAAGTCCTGTGACAAATAGAATATCACACTTCTCCATGCCCACCGAAAGGTCACCCACCCCTAGAAGGGAACTGCACAGCTGTCACTCACTGCCTTTCAAAGGTCACCCTCTCACTCTGCAAAAGGGGAATTGAAACAGCTTCCCCCAGAGTATTTAAAAACTCTATTTTCTAATTTCAGCTCAGACTGGTTAGAATTTAAAAAGGATTTACTTGAAATATTCTCTTAGCAAGGGGGGAAAGCAGCTGTAGCTGAGATGAAACAGTATGACAGGAAATTAAATGATAATATAATATTAATAACAGTGATGCCGGGTGGGGACAGTGGCTCACGCCTGTAATCCTAGCACTCTGGGAGGCCAAGGCGGGAGGATCACTCAAGGTCAGGAGTTCGAAACCAGCCTGAGCAAGAGCAAGACCCCGTCTCTACTAAAAATAGAAAGAATTTAGCTGGCCAACTAAAAATATATAGAAAAAATTAGCCGGGCATGGTGGCACATGCCTGTAGTCCCAGCTACTTGGGAGGCTGAGGCAGGAGGATCGCTTGAGCCCAGGAGTTGGAGGTTGCTGTGAGCCAGGCTGACGCCATGACACTCTAGCCCAGGCAACAGAGTGAGACTCTGTCTCAATAAAAAAATAAAATAACAGTGATGCAAGTGCTAAGGCGGAGGCTCTCTGGGATGCCTAAGGTAGCTCACATCACCTGCGGAATCTGGCTGCTCCTCAGGCCCTGTCGGGGAGGGAGGGAGGAAGGGAGGAGACGTGTGACAATATTGCAGAGGGACAAGGCTGTCTTGCTCGAGGGACCCTCTATGGCCCCACCTTGCCTGGAGAGAATGGGTCAGGAAGGGCTCCTTTGGACATAACAGGCGGCAGGTTAAAATGAACAGGCGGGAAACCTCAGACCAGAGCTGGACTTCTGTATGCCTGAGTCACACAGCACCACCCCGACTCACCTGGCGTCGGAATGGGGTGGCTAGCCTCACCCTTGCCAGGGCTTGAACTTTGTATCACTCAACCAATACGCTGTGCACCTGCCATGGGCCAGGCGGTGTGGGGTGCAGGAGGGCACAGCAGAGGGAAAAGGGACTGGGTGCTTGTCTTCTTGGCGCTCACCTTGCAGCCGCGGGCGCTGAGCAATAACCTACGTAAAATCAAATCATTCGACCTCAGCCAGGGGCGAGGTGTTTTTCCAGGGGATGTAACAAGTGGCTGGAGAGGTGGTTTAGATGACAGCAGAAGTGGTCAGGGAATGTCTCCGAGGAGGGGCACTAAGGTGTGACCCGAAGGAGGAGAGGGAGCCAGTCCTTTGCAGAGCAGGGAACTGCATTCCAGGCAGAGGGAACAGCATGTGCGAGGCCCTGAGGCATGATTGAGCTTGGTGGACTCCAGGAACATCCTGGAGGAGGCTGGCAGGAGAGGAGGTGGAGCAAGGTGTGGGCAGGGTTGGGTCATGCAGGGCCTGGCAGCCATGGTGAGTGTTTTGGATTTTTGTCCGAGGCAACTCGAGAGGCAGAGGAATGATTTGCGTTTTCAGAAGCTCGGCCTGCGTGCTGGGTAGAGCAGGGGTTGGGGACAGGAGTGGACACGAGAGCAGGGGGAGCTGTGCGCAGCCAGGGAGAGGGGCGATGGAGCTGATCGTCGTGGGGAGGGGCAGTGGGTGGACTCAGGGTGACCCCGCGTGCAGAGTGAAGAGATAAACTGAGGCCGGTTACTGGGGGCAGAAACTGGAGGCTGCCTCCGAGGTGAAGGTGGACCCATGTCACTTTCTCCAAAGCAGTGGCTCCCAACCGCCCCACCGGGCACGTGTGGCAATGGCCGAAGGTATTTTGGCTGCCGTCACTGCAGGTGGAGGGTGCTCCTACTGGCATCTAACGAGTAGAGATCTGGGACGCTGATAAGTGTCCTGGGGGGCACAGGACGGCCCCACAACAAAGAATTGTCGGGCCCCAAATCCCAATGGTGCTGAGGGCAGAAAGTTCTGTCCAAAGGGGCTGACGCTTCCCACCCCCGGTCAGTGAGGGCCGCCGGTCAATCTGCTTGCAGGGCGAAGCAGCGTAATGGGCCCGGCGAGCGGGGGTGTCGCGGCAGGCCATGCTCCAGCTCGTTGTAACTAAATTCTTAAACACACCCAGAGGCTTAGCATGGCGGGCCTTGTTTTCCAGATAAGGAAACTGAGGCTCAGAGAAGTGCAGTGACTTGTCCAAGGTCACACAGCAGCACTGGGACTCGAGCCCAAGCCCCTGTGTGACCCTCCTGCGCCCCCTGCCTGCTCTCTTAGCGCCCGGCTGGGCTGCCAGCCCTGCCCATGCTCCGTCCCCTTGCCCTTCGGCCTGTCTAGGGCCTCGTCCGCTGACTTTGCTTGGCCCCCCTCCCCTTCGCAGGCTGAGCGAGACGGGGCTGCCTGCCCGGAGCCCTTTCCTGCTGGCCGACGCCTTCGCCCTGTGCCCCTGGGTTCAGAAGGTGGATCTCAGGTGCGCCGCCCGGGACACCCAGGACTGGCCTTGGAGGGTCGTGCCCGCAGTCTGGTGGGCGTGAGGGGGCAGGATGGAAGCGGGGGGACCCAAGGCAGAGGCTGGGGTTCGGGGGGAAGGAGTGCGGGCCCCTGGGGGCATCCTGAGGCTCCGGCCAACGCGGCTGACGCAGGTGCCGTCTGTGCTAGGTCCCTGCGTCATGCCACCCTGCACTTCACATCCAGCCGGGAGCAGCGAGGCGTGTGCTGTGGGTGAGTGCTCTGAAACCGCGCCCGGGCAGCCAGCGCACGCTGGGGACCACTGACCCGCCCCTGGGTGGCCAGAGCAGAGCGAGGACTGCCTACGGCCAACGGCCAGCGCCCCCTGGAAGCCCCGTGGGGACTCTGGTCCCACCTGACATGCAGAAACGAGCGCACCTGCTGCGGGGCGGGAGCAGTGGGTGGGACCCTTCCGGAGGGCCCAGGCTGGGGTGCGGCTCCAGGGGCGGGTGGGCTGAGCGGCCAGACACGCCACCCCCACCTCCGCCCTCAGGTTTACGGGCTGCGGCCTCGGCCAGGAGCACGTGGAGTCCCTGTGCTGGCTGCTGAGCAAGTGCGAGGACCTCGGCCAGCTGGAGTGAGTGGGGGAGGGGGAGGGGGAGGAGACGTGGGACGCACACCTGGGTGGCTCTGGAGGGGAGCGAGAGTGACCGTGTGTGCACACCTGCGTTCCCGTGTGCCCACCTACGCCTCTCAGGACCAGCCGTCGGGACACCGTCAGGGGACTTTGGGTCACAACCCTAGCGCTCTGTGTACCCATTTCCTCTCTCCCGGCCCCGCTCCTGCTGCGGCCGAGCTAGTTGCACGGTGCCCCTAACTTGGGCAGCCCTCAGCCTCCAGTGCCCGCGAGCTCTGCTGGCCGATGGGGGCGGAAACGGACGATCCGCTGCTGGCCCGGCAGGTGGTTACAGTGACAAAGGCCTCAGCCTGAGAAGGGACCCGGAGCCGGCCAGGGAGGGGTCTGGCAGGCTGTACGGTTCGCGTACCCACATGGCGCTGCCCCCACGTGGGTGGGACAATAATAGCGGCTAGCCCTCCCGAGCCCTGCTCCACTGGTCTAAGGGCTCTACGCGCTCTTTCTGTCCTTCCGGTAGCCCTAGGTACTGTTACTGCTCACATTTTACAGATGGGGGAAACTGAGGCACAGAGAGGTGGTGAACTTGGCCAAGGCCACACGGTTAGAGCAATGCCGAGTCTTTGCTCACGGTCGTTAAGAGTCTGGCCGGCCCGGGACCAGTAGGAAATAAAAAGAGCTTGTCTACCAAAAATCCCAAACAATTCAAATTTCTGTTGTGATGTGGCCAAGAGGATAGATGTGGCTGATGAAAATCAGTATTTTTTTATTTTTATTTTTCTAATATAGACAGGGTCTGACTCTGTCCCCCAGGCTGGGGTGCAGTGGAGCAATCATAGCTCATTGTAACCTCAAACTCCTGGCCTCAAGCGATCCTCCCACCGCAGCCTCCTGAGTAGCTGGGACTACAGGTGTATGCAACTATGCCCGGCTAATTTTTAAATTTTTGGTAGAAATGGAGTCTCACTATCTTGCCAAGGCTGATCTCAAACTCCTGGCCTCAAGCAATCCTCCCATCTCAGCCTCCCAAAGTGCTGGGATTATAGGCGTGAGCCACCTCGCCCAGCCTGAAAATCATATATTTTAGAGAAAGATGCATAAGCAATATGTCTTCGAGTTTTTCAGTTTTTCATTGCAGAGAGAGATTTTTCTTATTTCAAAGATTATTTTATTAAGTGGCTTCATGAGACAAACCAACGTTTAAATGAAGTTTCTCAGCAAAAAACAAAATAAGCATGTGTCAAAGACATAGGAAGAAAATCAGATATTCTTGGGCACACTGGTTATATTGTTTCGGAAACTGTAGCTAAATGGCTACCTGAAGCCAAGTAAGAAGGTATTTAGGGCTGGTCTCCGATATCACCTTCCCAAATTAAAAGAAGAAATCTATACGGTCAGTGCATCCCCCATTTTTCTTTTTCCTGAATTTCCTCTTGTTCAAAAACGGTGGCTCCCAACGGACACGGGCCCAGGGCGTGGGAAACGCTAGCTGGCTTTTCTCTACCCCCGAAAGTCTGCGGGAGGGACGCGGGCCCTGGGCGTGGCCACCAGCCATGGGAGGGGACACTGGGGACGGGTTCACTGTGGTGCCAGTGAGAGGGGGCGGCAGGGATACGTGAGTCAGTGGTGACGCAAACGATGATGATGGTGGTACCTGGCACGGTGGTGTTGCGTCGTGGTGACAGTGAAGGTGGCAGTGGCCGCATGGGGATGTACAGTGACAGTGATGGCAGACGGTAGCTGTGGGGAACAGGCACAGGAGGAGGGGCACGTCCGACCACCCACAAGCACTTCTTGCGTCTCGCAGCCTCTCAGCAAACCTGCTGGGCGACGCCGGGCTCAGGTGCCTTCTGGAATGTCTGCCGCGGCTGCCCGTCTCGGGCTCGCTTGAGTGAGTGGGGCAAGGAGGGGCTCCCTGGGCCACGAGCATGAAAGCATGCACGGGCTGCTTCTGGGGGCATCCCGGGGACCCCCAGAGGACAGGGGCTGGGGAGGGAAACAGGGTGACTGTTACCCTGACCCACCCCTTGGGTTCTGTCTTCCCTCCCGCGTGGTGGGCCCCCACCAGACACCCCAAGAGGCTATGACTCATGAACCTGCCCCTCAACCTGCCCCTTCAGCCAAGCCGCCCCCAGGGCGGGGAAGTGACGTCCACCCCCAACCAGCGGACGTGGCATTGCAGCCACCCCGGCTCCTGGTCCATCCTGTCCCTCACGTTCCTCTGACCCAGTTGACAGGGACAGGAACTTGGAGGTGTCCCGGCAGCAGGAGAGAGTCCTTAGGAAGTCAGCCACATGCTCGGCCCGATCTCCCCAGTGACCTGGGAGACTGACAGCCAGAGCCAGGATGTGACCCGTTGCTAGGCAACTGACCTTTGTGCCCTGGGAGTCTGGGACCCACACGGGGCTGGACCACACGGGCGGCCGGTGCAGGAGTGCAGCTCGGAGGACTCGGGCTGGGGCCAGTGCTGCCTGTGTGGTGGCCCTTCCGGGCCTCTCTCTGGGCCTCAGCTTCTCCGTCTGGAGAATGGGCGCTCGGACACGGAGGCCTCTCTTCCCCAGAAATGACAGCCGGTGGGGGCTGGGGGCTGGGCAGGGCTCCACGGAGGTCCTGCCCCACCCCATCCCGAGCCTCATGTCCCTTCTAGTCTGAGTCACAACGGCATCTCGCAGGAAGGCGCCCTGCTGCTGGTGGAGGCCCTGCCGGCCTGCGCGCGTGCCCGGGGGGCCTCGGCGAGGTACGCGTCAGCGCCGCTGGCCGGTGGTGGGGACCTGGGCGCCCACACTCGAGACCTCTGCCTGTGCGGCCTGGGCCGACCTTGCCTGTCTCTGAGTCTGAGTTCCCTGAACGTGGGCCCACAATGCCCACCCCCAATGCCCAGGCACCAGGGGACCAGAGTTTGTGGGGGCGGGACAGGCCAGGTGTCACCACCTAGCAGGATGAGTGGGGCTTTTCCTTCTGTGGCTTGTGCCCCCCCTTGTCCCTGTGGGTGCAGCCCCCGCCCCTTTCTGTGTCCCCAGGCGCCCGGGCCTCACGCCTCCCCTCCCTCCTCTCTCTGCAGCCTGGGCTCCGCGCAGAGCTTCCGGATTCATTTCTCCAAACAGGAGGAGGCCGGGAAGACGCTTAGGTAATCCCTGGGGACCTGGGGACCAGGGACAGCAGGCGGGAGAGGAGGCTGGCCCTGTGGTGGCCTCCATTCCTCCTGCCCTGGGCCTCTCCTCCTTCAGATGAGCCTGCTTCAACTCACTGCCTGGCTTTGGGCCCAGACGGGCCCTGACGCCCCCATGCCTCCAGTCTGGGTGGCCCTGGCACGGTCCCCGTGCCTCCTGGCCATGTACTGTCTATGTCTTGAGGCTTCTGAGTTTCACAGTGAAGATTCTAGAACCACCAGAGACTGAATCCCAGCTCTGCCACTCACCAGCTGGGTGACCCTGGACAAGTTACTTAACCTCTCTGTTTCAGTTCCTCATCTGGAAAGTAGGGATAATAGTACAACCTGCCCCTTAGGGTTATTGTGAGGATTGGATGAGTTAATAATACATGTAACGTGCTTGGAAAGGGCCTGGCTCCTTAGAGTATCATAGCAGCTATTATTATTTTTTTTTTATTGCCACTCCTGGTAGCCCTGAACTCTGTCTCTCCGTCAGCCTCATCGCCCCTGCCCTGGGCCGGTCCCTGTCCATGTCTAACTTCAGCTGTGGACATGGCCTTGAACTGCCCCTGGCTCTGGACAGGCCTCCGTCAAGCCACTCGCCCCACAGCACCTAGAAGGTTCTTCACGACACACGCTTGCCAGCTATGCCACTCCGCGGCTCTAGGCACTTTAGGGCCCCACTGCCCCCAGGATAAGTTCAGACTCCTTACCCTGGTCCCCTCCCGCAGTCAGATCAGCTGTCCCCTCCTCCCACCTCGCCACACACCCCACACACGTCCCACACCACGGACACGTGTACACATATACACCATGCCCCACGCCACACACATGGACACACAACACAACATACAACAGACCCACACACATCAGCCACAAGGGCCCGTGCTGTTTGTCATGGAACCTGCTCTGCCCGGGGGGCGTCCCTGTCTCTGCGCACCCGGGCACCGGGCCTGACGCCCTGCCCGCCTTTTCGGAGATGACGTTCTCCAAATCCTCTAGGAGGAGGGGCACGCGGAGGGCGGGGCTGTCGCCAGGCTCCCAGGCGCGCCTGCCCCCAGGGAGCTCGGGCGGAGCGGCTGCAGGGTGAGGGCGTGTTAAGGGCTTGGGGTCCACGGTCAGACCGGACTGACCCCCGGTTCTGCTGCCCTGGTGTCTGGGCTTGGTCAGTTTCCCAGCTGCGCTGAGACAGCGCGTGCCAGGCAGCCCCTGCGCGCCCCGAGGCGGCCATGCACCCCTCGTGGGGTCGGGGCTCCGTGCGTCACGCGCTCCTAACACTGTCTTGGGGGTGGGCTCTGCCCAAACGGACAGGAAGCTCCCCAGGCAGGAGCCACATCTTGGCCTTTCTCAGGCCCTGCCCAGGCCTTCGCCCTCAGGGGCTCCCCCAGTCGGTCCTCGGGGAGGCCGGGAGGAGGCGGGAGGAGGCCCACAGGCCTCACCCCTGCCCGGCCTTCTGCAACCAGGCTGAGCGAGTGCAGCTTCGGGCCAGAGCACGTGCCCAGGCTGGCCACCGGCCTGAGCCAGTCCCTCCAGCTGTCGGAGCTCACGTGAGTGACCGGCCCAGCCCGTGGGGACAGCTGGGGGGTGGGGGTGCCCTGCCAGAGCCACCCCACGGGAGCCCCCCCAGTGACCGACCTCTGTCCGCAGACTGACCCGGTGCTGCCTGGGCCGGGAGCAGCTGATGGTTCTTCTGAGCCTGGTGCGGCGACCAGCTGGACAGCTCTGCCTCAGGTATGGTGTTCCTCCCGCCCGGGAGCGCCCCCGGTGAGTGGGGGCAGGGAGCACGGCCCCCGGGATTACGGCCATGGCCATTTCCCGCACCCAGAACCCTGCCATCTGTCCCAGAGACCTCGCAAGGCACCCAGAGAAGCTGTCCCTCCCCAGCGTGGGGACTGCGCTTTGGGATTTAAGGGGAAGAAAGAAAAAAGCTCCAAAGGCTACCCAACCGATGACAGAAATAACATAGAACAAATACGATGTTTGCCTGTTCACCAGGTTAACTTTAAAACATTCAGAATAAAACAATAACCAAAAGGTAGAGAGAATAATTTTTAAAAACCCATATTGCTATGACCTGGGTCTGACGACCGTTCATATTTGTCCATATTTGCTTTCACATTTTATTTTGGGGGCTGAAGTGTTTTAAAGTAAATTATAGGCCTTATATAATATCACTCCTAAATATTTTACTGCAACTCTCCGAAAAATAAGGACATTTTCTACACAATCGCAGTTCAGTTAGGACAGCAAAGAGACTTAGCAGCCATCGTTCGTGTCAGGTGCTGCCTCTGATCTAAAATGTCCCCGGTGTCCCCCAAAGAGGACAGCTGGCTTGTTGGGTCCGGGATCCAGTCGGGGTCCACATTTGCATGGGGTGGGGGGTGACAGTCTTATGACTCTTCTGAGTCACCTCCCAGTGTCCTCTTCCAAGTCCGAATCAGTTGACAAAACCAGCCACCGTGCAGTAGACTGTCCCCTTCCGGCTCTGTCTGGTTGCTGCCTCGTGATGTCATGGAGTCTTTTCCTCTAACCTCTGGCCGTCCTATAAACTGGAAGTTAGATCAAAAGGCTCGGTGACAGTCAGTTTACATATTTGTGCCCCAAAAAGCATACTTCACAGACAGCGCTGCGTGCCTCTCACCCCACCCTACGACAAGACACGTGGGATCCAGCTGTTCCCCAAAATGACTTTTTAAAAAATTGCGATCTTAATACGCATAACAAAATTTACCCTCTTAATCATTTTTTTTTTAAAGAGTTGGAGTCTCGCTCTGTCTCCCAGGCTGGAGTGCGGTGGCACCATCACAGCTCACTGCAGCCTTCCACTCCTGGGCTCCAGTAGTCCTCCTGCCTCAGACTCCTGAGAAGCTGGGACTACAGGCACCTGCCACCATGCCCAGCTGTTTTTTTTATTTTGTGTAGAGACAGGGTCTCGCTATGTTGCCCAGGCTGGCCTCAAACTCCTGGGCTCAAGCGATCCTCCTGCCTCGGCCTCCCAAAGTGCTGGGATTACAGGCGTGAGCCACCAGCTCGGGCCCATCTTAATCATTTGTAAGTGTACAGTTCGGTAGTGATAGGTACATTCACAGTTTTGCACAGCCAATCTGCAGAACTCCTTTCGTCTTCTAAAACGGAATCTCTGTCTGTTCACCCGTGTCCCAGCGTGTGTCAGATGTCCTGCCTTTTGAAGGCTGAGTAACATTCCCCGCGTGGCTACACCGCGTTGTGATGATCTACTCGCTGGAGTTGCTGCCCCCTTGTGGCTGTTGGGAATAGTGCTTCTATGAACACGGGCATACAAACATCTTTTTGAGTCCCTGCTTTTAATTATTTTCGTTATATCTCCAGAATTGCTAGGTCACCCAAAATAACATTTTAAAATAAAACTTTCCTTAGTCTAAAAATAATATGAACTCATTGTAGAAATGTGTAGAAAATCCAGGGGAGCATAAACTAGAAAATAGTGCTTTAGAAAAATTCAACATAACTTTAAAAATAACATTTTCTGTTTCAATCGTCGCAATAATAATTGTTGGAATAAGGGCGATGTTAATGGACTTTCTTATGCCTATGCCTAGCTGTATAATTTTATAGTTTTAAAACAAGCACAAAACGAGGCCAGGCGTGGCGACTCACGCCTGTAATCCTAGCACTCTGAGAGGCCAAGGAGGGAGGATTGCTCGAGGTCAGGAGTTCAAAACCAGCCTGAGCGAGACCCCATCTCTACTAAAAATAGAAAGAAATTAATTGGCCAACTAAAAATATATATACAAAAAATTAGCTGAGCATGGTGGCTCATGCCTGTAGTCCCAGCTACTCGGGAGGCTGAGGCAGGAGGATCGCTTGAGCCCAGGAGTTTGAGGTTGCTGTGAGCTAGGCTGATGCCACAGCACTCACTCTAGCCTGGGCAACAAAGTGAGACTCTGTCTCAAAAAAAAAAAGCACAAAACGAAAATGCCTCTAGGCCCCCTCGTCACTCCGCCCCTCCCCCTCCCCAAGTGTGCCAACTGGCCGCTACTCACCCTGGGGCCCCTACCTGTGTCCCTTTCTGTTACAGGGTGGAAGAGCCGTGGGTGGGCAGAGCCGGGGTGCTGGCCCTCCTAGAAGTCTGCAGCCAGGCCTCAGGCAACGTCACTGAAATAAGGTGAGTCCAGGGAGGAGGAATTCTTGGAATTCTTCTTTTCACGACATTGGGACCTTCCCTCTTTTCCCATGGGATAATAGCTGTGTCGCCAGTGAGTTCTCTGTGTCCCCAGGATGGCAGGAGTTCCCGGGGCATACATGCGGTGCTGCACACGTTTGTTAGGACCCGTGCAGTAGTCAAGCCACAGTGTCAGAGCAAAGCTTCCCCAGAGTCGAGACGAAGGGCTGCTGGGTCCAGGCAGCCGTGGCTGGGAGTCCACACTGGTTGCTGGGAAGTGGCCCCTGGATGCAGTGACACACGTCACGGCTCTGAGACCAGAGATGACAGAATGACATGGAGTAGCTAAGAGCAAAGGCTTGGGCACCCCACTGGCCTGTGTTCGGATCCCAGCCCGGCCACTCTGGCCTCAACCGCCCGCTGCTCTAAACAGGGGTGTGATGACACCCTCATGGCAGCAGGGAAGGGCGTCCGCGTCCTGTCCCAGCCACACAGCCGTCCCTGCTGCTTCCTCCCTCCCACCAGGAGGGACCCAGGAGACACTTGGGGACTGTAAGGCCCCTCAGCCCTCTCCCCATAACCAGCCCCATTAGCGTAACCTTCAGGTACACGCAGAGCTCGGAGTGCAAGTGCAGCCCCCAGACCCCCCGCCCCTCGCACCACGCTGCGGCCTTGGTCCCCTCCCTCAGGAAATCCTGGCCTCTCCTCGGCCTCCCTGGTGGCTTTCTGTCCTGGTCTGAAAAGCCTCCTGGACTTATTAAGTCACGGTTGTTGCAAAGGCACCGCTTTGAGAGTGTGTGACTCAGGGAGGCGACCGCCTTGCCATCCTAAGCGGGTCCCTGGAGGGCAGGAGGGGGCCCAGGAGGAGGCCAGGCGGCCCGGGTGCCAGGGACAGCCGCCTGGCACGGAGCCACCTGGCCTCACGCCGGCCTCCCTCCGTCCTCAGCATCTCCGAGACCGGGCAGCAGCTGCGCGTCCAGCTGGAATTCCCTCGCCAGGAGAACCCGGAGGTGGTGGCCCTCAGGTGGGACCAGCGCGGGGCGCAGGGGGGAGCAGTTGGCGGTGGAAGGGACAGGGCTGCTCCTGCCCAGTCCTTTGGTGTCCGAAGTCTTTACTCACCTGTGAGGTCTGGCCGGCCCCGCACGCTGCCTTCCAGCCCCGCCCACCCCTGGCCTCAGCTCCTGTCCTCCCCCCAGCGTTTAGTTCCCTGAACACTGCCTTGCTGTCTGTGACCTCAGGACCTTTGCACAGGACGTCCCCTCTGCCCAGAACGTTCTCTTCTCACCTAACCCTCTTCCTCCTTCCTTACCTGGCTACCTCCTCCTCATCCTTCAGGTCTCAGCTTAAATGCCACCACCTCAGGGAGGCCCCCGAGCCCCATGACTGAGTCCCATGTCACATACTCCTGTCTCATAGAGGCCTGGACACTGCACCGCTCTTCCATACAGCACAGTTCGGGAAATTAGAACGCCGCCTCTTTTGAGCGAATGCAGCCCTCCATATATACACCCTGGGAACGGAGCGTGTGTCCCAGCCCCAACTCACCTCCTTGGCTGGGTGCCCTTGTGCAGTGAACAGCCTGCACAACCATACCGGCTGCCCCATTGCGACCCCCCCTTCCTGGTGCATCTCATAGCTGAATAGCAAATGATGGGGCTTTGTTTGATCAGTTTATTTTCCCCTATACCATAAGCTCCTTGCAGGAGGGACTGAATTGACCCTGCGGGAGCAGGCGTTCAGAAACGGCCCCCTCCCTGTCTCCGTCCAGGTTGGCTCACTGTGACCTTGGGACCCACCACAGCCTTCTCGTCAGGCAGCTGATGGAGGCGTGTGCCAGGCTGCGGCAGCTCAGGTCAGCACCCGGAAGCACCGGGCCCCGGTTCCCTGGTCGAGCCCGGCGCCTACTCCAGGCCACCTGTGCCCCTGGCAGCGTCATTTCCTTACACAGGTCACATTCGGCCAGTGAGGGGAGAGCCCCTGGGTGGCAAAGAGGAGCTCTTGGGGGCCCTTTCCCCTGCCCGGCTGCCCCGTCTGTACGTGACAACCCCTGAGGTGTGTCCAGTCTGAAATGTTCTGGAATATCCTTGGTCCTTTTCAGCTTGTCCCAGGTTAACCTCTGTGATGACGGTGATGCCAGCGTCCTGCTGCTGCAGAGCCTCCTGCCGTCCCTGTCTGAGCTGAAGACGTTCCGGTGGGCAGACGAGGCGCTCTCCCCGCCCCTTGCAGCCCGGCCCTTCCCCCGCCCGTCGGCCCCCAGCCCAAGGCTCGGAGGACCCTGGGTCCCGCCCTGTGGACAAGAACCACAGGTGGTTTTGAGGTGGTGTCAGGGGTGCACGGTGACAGGCACGACCTTAGCAACACTGAGTCACACGGCAAGAAACTTATTCCCTTTTCAATGCCCTTTCTTTGTTTTCTCTTGAAATAATTGCAAGCTAATAAAAAAGCTGCAAGAAGGCTAAGAACTTAAACATACCATTTGCCCAAATTCACCCTTTGTTAATGTTTTTCACATTGGCTCATTTTTTCCCTCCCTCCTTCTCCCCCCTCCCCTCTCTTCTTCTGCTCTCTTCTGTCTGTTTCTGAACCATTTAAAAGTTGTGTAATCATGCCCCTTTACCCCGTAATATTTTAGTGAATTTCCTAAAAACAAGGACATTCTCTTCCGTAACCCAGTAAAATGGTAAAACTCGGGACATTTAACAGTGATACACTACTAGGATCCCTAAACCGCAGTTTATACTCCAGTTGTACCAATTGTCCCAATAATGTGTATGGCATTTGTTTTCCCAGTCTTGGATCGAATCCAGGGTCACACCCCACATTTAGTGTCGTCCCTCGTTAGTCTCCTTCAGCCTGGACCACTTGCTCAGCCCCTCTTCGTCCTGCATGGCGTTGTCTGGCATTTACAGGCCAGCTGTTTGATCAAACTTCCTTCCTCCTGGGTTTGCTGATGTTTCCTAGTGCTTGGATGTGGCGCCTGGATTGAGGGCAGGAATGTCACACAAGCGACATGTGCCCTCGCAGCAGGGCACGTGCTGTCTCTGTGTCCCCTTGCAGGTGGAGTTAACTGTGATCACCTGTACAGGTGGCGTCTGCCAGGTTTCTTCCCTCTCGAAGCTACTGTTTTTCCCTTTGTAATGAATATGTAGTGTGGGGAGATACTTCGACTATGTGAATGTCCTGTTCTTCCTCCATCCTTCACCCACAAATTCCAGCATCCATCCATAATTCCCACCTGAGTCCATTGTCAGGATGATGGTGGCAGAAGGGAGTTTTCCCAACTTTTCAGTTCTCTTCCTTCTTTTCTTCTGAGACAGAATCTCACTCTGTCACCCCAGCTTTCACTCTGTCACCCCAACCTCAAACTCCTGGACTCAAGCCATCCTCCTGCCTCAGCCTCCCAAATAGCTGGGACTATAGGAATGCACCACCATGCCCAGCTAATTTTTTCTATTTTTGGTAGAGATGGGGTCTTGCTCTTGCTCAGGCTAGCCTTGAACTCCTGAGCTCAAGCGGTCCTCCCTCCTGGGCCTCCCAGGGTGCTAGGATTACAGGCGTGAGCCACCGTGCCTGGCCCTTCAGTTTTCTTTCAATCCGACTGATTCCGTCAAGAAGAAACTCTTTGGGACTGATAGATCTTTGACACTTCTCCAGTACTTCTTTAAAGATGCAGAACTGGCGGTGGACATAGCAGCGAGCTAGACTTTACAGCGATACTAAGTTGTGAAGTTGCTATCTGAATGACCGTGGTGTAGGGAACACTCCGCTAGCCCACGCCCCTGCCTGCAAGCTTTCTCTCGGCTTCGTGAGTCCACGGTGGAAGAGATTCATGCAGGGAGGGGTCCCCACCCCCTGCCCCCAGGAGTCACATCCTAGCCCTCTGCCACCATCATTCAGAACTCCCAAGACCCAGGGCTCCTGCCTGACCTGTTGCCCTTTGACCTCCCCCCCACTAGGCTGACCTCCAGCTGTGTGAGCACCAAGGGCCTCACCCAGCTGGCCTCCGGTCTGAGCCACTGCCACCACCTGGAGGAGCTGGAGTGAGTCGCAGGGCGGAAGGATCTGGAAGGGAGATGCTGAGGGCCAGGGGTGGGGAAGACAGCGGGCCTCAGACGAGGCAGACCCTGGGCCCAGCTTATGACCCTCTCCCTGAGGAAGGCAGCAACTCTGCCCGTTGCCCTGGGAGGCTGAGCACTGTGTTCTTGGTCGCAACCATCATGCCCGCACCTGCGGGGACTCCAGAGCCTGACCCCTGGGGCGGGGCAGGAATGCCCGGTGGTCGAGGACCTGCAGACCAGGGGCAGCACCCCGGGGACCGAGGGGTGGGGAATCTCACAGCTCAGCTGTGAGCAGGGGCGGAGCAGGCTCATCCCACCCTCCCCCCGCTCCGTCCCTCCAGCCTGTCCAACAATCAGTTCTGCGAGGAGGGCACCATGGCGCTGGTGCGGGCCCTTGACGGGAAGTGCAGGCTGAAGAGGCTCAAGTAAGTCATGGCGGTTAATGCGGAAGGGCTGGGTGTTGGTGGTTAATGGGGAAGGGGTGAGTGTTGTTGGTGGTTAATGGGGAAGGGCTGGGTGTTGGTGGTTAATGGAGAAGGGGTGAGTGTTGGTGGTGGTTAATGGGGAAGGTGAGTGTTGTTGGTGGTTAATGGTAGGGGCTGGGTGTTGGTGTTAATGGGGAAGGGGTGAATGTGTGGTGGTTAATGGGAAGCTGAGTGTTATTGGTGGTTATGGGGAAGGGTGAGTGTTTGTTGGTGGTTAATGGGAAGTGTGGATGGTGTGGTGTTAATGGGAAGGGCTGAGTGTTGTGGTGTAATGGGGAATGGTGAGTTTATTTGGTGGTTAATGGATAGGGTGATGGTGGTGGTGTTAATGGAAGGGCTGGAGTGTTGTTGTGTTAATGGGTGAAGGGGTGAGTGTTATTTGTGGTTAATGGGGTAAAGGGGTGAGGTGGTGGTGTGGTGTAATGGGGAAGGGGTGAGTGTTGGTGGTGTTAATGGGAAGTGGTGTTGGTGTGGTTAGTGGAAGCTGAGTGGGTGGTGGTGGTAATTTGAAGGAGCGCCGGCGTGAGTGTTGGTGGTGGTTAATGGGGAAGTGAGTGTTTTTGTTGGTTAATGGGGAAGGGTGCAGTGTTGTTGTGGTTAATGGTATAGGGTGGATTGTTGTTGTGGTTAATGCGGGAAGGCTGAGTGTTGGTGGTGGTTAATGGGGAAGGGCTGGTGTGTGGTGTTAATGGGTAAGGCTGATTTATTGTTGTCTATGGGGAAGGGGTCAGTGTTTGTGTTAATGGGAAGGTGAGTGGTGGGTGTTGGTTATGGGGAAGGCTGAGTGTTGTGGTGTTTAATGGGGAAGGGGTGCATGTTTTATTGGTTGTTAATGGGGAAGGTAGTGGTGGTGGTGGTTAGATGGGGAAGGCCTGATGTGTTGTTGGTGGTTAATGGGGAAGGGCTGTTGAGTGTTATTGTGGTTAATGGGGAAGGGTGAGTGGTGGTGGTGTTAATGGAAGGGTGATGTTGTTGTTGTTTAATGGGGAATGGTGAGTGTTATTGGTTTTAATGGGGAAGGTGAATTGTTGGTGGGTGGTTAATGTGGGAAGGGGTAGTGTCGGGTGTTGTTAATGGGGAAGGGTGAGTGTGGTGGTGGGTTAGTGGGAAGGGCTGGAGTGGTGCGTGGTGGTTAATGGAAGGGTTGATGTTGTGTGTTAATGGGACAGGTGGATTGTGAATATTGGGAATGGGTAGTTGGTGGTAATTGGGAAGTGAGTGTGTTTGTGTTTAATGGGGAAGGGGTGAGTGTGGTGGTGTTAATGGGGAAGGGTGTGAGTGTTGGATGGTGGTAATGGGGAAGGGTGAGTGTGGTGTGGTTAATGGGGAAGGTGAGTGTTTGGTGGTGTAATGGGAATGGCTTGATGTTGTGGTGTTAATGGGGAAGGGGTGAGTGTTAGTGGTGTTAATGGGGAGAGGAGTGAGTGTTGGTGGTTGTTTAATGGGGAAGGGGTGTAGTGTTGGGATGTGGTAATGGGAAGGGGTGACGTGTTGTTGGTGGTTAATGGGGAAGGTGAGTGTGGGTGTGTAATGGGAAGTGAGTGTTGTGGTGGTAGTTGGGAAGGGGTGATGTTGTGTGTGTTAATGGGAAGGGGTGACTGTTTGGTGTGGTTACATGGTGAAGGTGTGAGTTGTGGGTGGTGGTGAATGGGAAGGGTGAGTGTTGGTGTGGTTAGTTGGAAAGGTGAGTGTTGGTCGTGGTTAATGTGAAGGATTGAGTGGTTTTGGTGGTTAGTGGGGAAGGGGTGAGTGTTGGTGGTGGTTAATGGGAAGGGGTGAGTGTTGGTGGTGGTTAGTGGGGAAGGGGTGAGTGTTGGTGGTGGTTAATGGGGAAGGGATGAGTGGTTTTGGTGGTTAATGGGGAAGGGGTGAGTGTTGGTGGTGGTTAGTGGGAAGGGGTGAGTGTTGGTGGTGGTTAGTGGGGAAGGGGTGAGTGGTGGCGGTGGTTAATGCGGTGGGGGGGTGGGGAACATGCCTAGGAATCTTTGCATCTCTTATGAACACAAACTATCAGGTCTCTGGATGACCCCAGCTGAGTGTTATGCCCTCCCAAGAACTTTTACTTCCTCACTGGGCTCTGAGCACCATTATGATGCTCTGTCACAGGAAACAGAATGCATAACTCAAACCAACACACGACAGGAACGTACTGGCTTATGTCATGGAAGATTACAAGGCAGCTTACTTCAGGCATGGCTGGATCCAGGGGCCATATATTCGTCGGGTTTCCCACTCACTCGTGCTCTTTCTCTGTCCACCGTGGTGTCTTTCCCAGACAGGCTGTCCCTGCAGCTGCAGGCCTACTTTCTACCCACTTATTGGAGAGGAAGCACCATTCTCCCTGTAGTTGCCCCAGAAGGCCCTAGATTGAGTCCACTGGACTTGCATGGGTCACGTGCCCACCCCATCATCTGGACTTAGGGGGTGGTATTTCAGGGTGCTGTTAACAGAAGAAGGGGAAATAAACTCTGGCCAGAAGGAACCCACAGATGTCCACTGCCATTTGTCTACAGTTGTTTCCTTAGTAACTGGCAACTCTTACCCTCCCCTGTAATTTGAAGGCACCAAATTCTTAGAAATGCCTGAAACAGCCTCAGTCTGAAAGACAGGTTCCCATCCTGCAGAGATTCCTTTTTAAAATGGTACCTAGATAGAAAATTGAACAGGATAGTTTCTGCTTCTAATCTCTAAGTTTTTCTGGTGACCAAAAATACACTCTGGCTATAAAAAGTTCTGTCATTATAGAAATATATGACAGAGAGCATGAAATCCCCTGGAGATGACACCCCCTGAGAAAAACTTCTGTGCACGAGAAGTTTGTGAATTTTTCTCCAGAGCCTGTTGATTTTTTGCCTCTTAGCAATAAAATTCTCCCACTTTGGCCCTCTTTGCCTGTCCTGGGAGAGAGTCAAGTGGAGGGATAGGAGAGGTTTGAACTTTGACCACGGGGCCCTCCTGTCCTGCCACCAATCTGGGTTTTTGCCCCCACCCTCTGTATGTCTGTACCTCTGCTTAGCCTTCTGGAAGCTTGTCTTTGAGTACTTGGAGGCCCAGTGGGGTCACTCATTGGCTCGTTCATGCATTCAACAAATACGCATTGTTCTGGGTACCTGGCCCAGGGCGAGTTGCTGGTGGTGCATTGGAGGACAGGACAGATATATCCGTGGCCCCTGCAAGCACTCACGGTCTGGTGGGCACCTTGCCTTTTCTTCTGATTTTTCCCAGGTACCCCTTGCTGCCTCTTAGCGCTTGCTGCCTCAGTTTGCCTTACCTGCAAAGTGGGCATAATGGTATCTTCCCTGTCTAAAGAAAGGGAATGGCTCCTCCGTGCCCAGAGTCCTCTTCCAGTTTCAGAGCTGTCATTTCCAAGTGTCTCCTCCTACCGGAAGTTCCCCTCACATCCAGCCAGCTTCTTCCGGCTGTCTCCCTGTGATGGACCAGGCTGGGGCGTGGGCCCTGCTTGGGAGCCGCACTGCCTGGGCTCGCCTGTTGATAGAATAACCCACTGTCCTAGTTTGCCTGTGGCTGTCCCGGTTTTAGCACCAAAAGTCCAGCATCCAGATAAACCTTCAGTTCTAGGCCACCCAGGACAGTTAATTGCCTCTTGGTTCCACCTCTTAATGTGTGAGTCAGTGCAAGTCCCTTAAGTTCTCTGTGCTCTGGTCTCCTCATCTCTGGGGATAAGAGCTGTCCCTGCCTCCTAGGGTTGTTGTGAGTTTAAATGAGGTAATACATGTTAAGTTCTTAGAACAGAGCCTGGCCCAGAGTTCATGCTCTGAGTGTTGACTGTTGTTTTTCCCTTCTCCTGCCCAGACTGGGGGCCCTAAGGAGCGTGCTCCCGTGGGTAACACGTGGTTGCAGCCCAGGAATGGGAGTCCTGCAGCCCTGGGTCCTGTTGCTGCAGCTGCCATTTTCTGTGTGTGACCTTGAGCAAGTTCTCTAACTCTCTGAGCCTCGGTGTTCCTCATCTGTAAAATGGGGATGATAACAGACCCACCTCCCCAGATGGCCCCGAGCCCTGTGTTTGGCTAAATATCCGATTGCCATTATTACTGATCAGTAATGTGAGTCCAGTGTGACTCAGAACACAGAACTTCTGTCTGCATGACCTCAATAACGCATGCAGAGAAGCGGCGCTTAAATGTCCCAGTGCAGTTTGTTTCGTATAATTTTTACACTGTGTGGATGGAAGTGGCTGTCTTGAGGTCCCTGGGCATGCTAAGCACGGAAGCCTCAGACCCCCAGACAGGACAGGGCCTCAGTCTGCACCCGGGACCCCACGCCAGTGACGCCACCTTCATCTGGCCTCCTGTCCTCCAGCCTCAGCCATCTGCCACTGGGCGGCTCCACCCTGGCCATGCTCACTCGAGGACTGAGCCACATGACCCTCCTGCAGAGCCTCCGGTGAGTGACCGGGTGACCCTGTGGGAGCGAGTGGGCAGACATGCCTGGCTCCGTGGGACCACCTCCCAGGGAGCCCCCGCCCCGCACACGCCCATGCCTTCCCAGGGCTGTGTCCTCTGCTTGTGCCTTCCTTCTAATGCCACCAGCTTCCTCCTAGCTACAAAAGTGACCTAAACGGCTTAGGCCCAAATCCTAGAGCAACTCCTCGTGTGTACACAGCTCACCTTGGGTTCTTGTTAAAATGATAATTCCAATCCCACAGGTCTAGAATTCTGACTAGATGTTGCTTTTTTTATTTTTATTTTATCATATTTTATTTTGAGATGGGGGTCTCGCTGTGTTGCCCAGGCTGGAGAGCAGTGGCTATTCACAGGCATGATCATAGCTCACTGTAGCCTCAAACTCCTGGCCTCAAGGGATCCTCCAGGCCCAGCCTCCAAGTAGCTGGGACTATAGGCATGGGTCACCACACCCAGCTAATTTTTCCATTTTCAGTAGAGACAGGGTCTCACTGTTGCTCAGGCTGGTCTGGAACTCCTGACCCCAAACAATCCTCTGGCCTCAGCCTCCCAAGTAGCTGGGACCACAGGCCTGAGCCACCACGCCCGGATTCTGCATTTCTAACAAGCTCCCACGTGACATCAGTTCTGGGGGCCACAGACCACACTTTCAGTAGTGACAGTCTAGACTCAGAGCTAGTGGCTTTCAAACAATCCCTCTGTGATTTCACTCTCTCTGCCCACTAGGATAAACAAATATCACACTTGCTTTTAATGTGATTTTCAAAATATGAAATACTGTGACTAAGAACAAACCCCAGCAGTGACACAAAGCATGCTTTATTTTTATCCAAGTCCCCACCACCACTCACCCCTCCCGCCTCTGGCAGAGTAGAGTGGGGAGGAAATGAGGTTAGAGGGTTCGGGAGGGCAGATCATGTAGCACCATTGCACCCAAAATTAATTTACGGAAAGGCAGTTCACTAAAATTTAATTTGCAAAACAAAAGAAAGCAAAAACAACCCTCAGATAAATTCTTAGCAAGGGGCTAAGACGGACCATTTGCCTCTGTTGTTTTGTTTTCCCCACTCACTGAGGCTGGGCAAGGTTAGGGCGCAGAAAAAACAACCACGTGGGTTAAGGAGAAGCCTACCGTTTGCACAAATGAGAACACGATATGCCCCGGAGAACCGAACTTGGCATTCAGCGGGGCTGGCCTGCAGATCCCTGGCACGGAGACTGAGGCCAGACCTGGCAAAGCCAAAAACTGTAGCGACTGCTCCCAGGCCAGGGGCTCTGGGTGTCATCTCCACCCAGCCTGCAAGTCACTGCGAGTCACTGTCATGCACAGCTCACCCCTAGGCCTCGGTTTTCCCACCTGGACACTGGGGACTGTCTTCCCACCCTGCTCACCAATGCCCCAGCCCCAGGAGTTTTGTGACACACGTGATGAGTCCTGGGCGTGTAAAGGCTTTGCAAACTGTAGAGTTCTTAGAACAGCTCTTGCAAAGACCTTTAAGCTCCTAAAGCCTCTTGGTCTATTCCCTGCTTTTCTAGACTGAGCAGGAACAGCATCGGTGATCTGGGTTGCTGCCACCTTTCTGAGGCTCTCAGAACTGCCACCAGCTTAGAGGAGCTGGGGTGAGTTGCCTGTCCTTCCCCCAGACCCGAGACAACTTTGGCAGGGAAGGACGGCCAATGCAAGAGGCCTCTTGAGCACACTCTTGAATTCTCAGCCTCTTCCCCTTTGTCCCCTTCCCCCCTTGTGTAACCAACCCCAGGGCTAGGGCCTTGGGAGACCCAAAGAGAGGATACAGGAGTGTCCACTGCAGCTGGGGGATTGGGGTCAGACAACAGGGAGAACATCTAAACAACAGCCAAGAGCTGGGAGCCCTCACCCAACCTGGGGTGATGGGCTCTCGCAGTGTGAGCCGAAGCCCTTCTTGGGACTTGAGCCTCCTCTTCCCTTCTGGGGGGGTGTGGACAAGAGGAGGTGGTGGGAGGCTGAGGAAGCTGTTCTCTCCCCAAGATTGAGCCACAACCAGATCGGAGACGCCGGTGCCCAGCACTTAGCCGCCATCCTGCCGGGGCTGCCTGGGCTCAGGAAGATAGAGTGAGTGGCCAGCCCTACTGCGAGGGGCGCATGGGTCACACCACGGGCCCGGGAGGCACCGGCCCCTGGCTCAGGCCAGCATTGTGAATCTCCCCTGCCCCGGCCTCAGTGTCCAGGCGGTGGGCTGGGTGACCTCCTGGCTCTGACTCTGGGACCTCAAGCCACGCAGCCCCTGCTCCTCTCTGGGCCTCTCTGCCCACCCGGCTGGGAAGGAGGTGGGGGTGGGGGTGTCTCTGAAGCCCCTGCAGCTGGGGTGGCAGCCCCCACAGGGGCACTGGGCTGGGCAGAGGGGGCGCCCGGGATCTGATGGCTGTCTCCTCCCGCAGCCTCTCAGCGAATGACATCGGCCCCAAGGGGGGCGTGCAGTTGGCAGAGTCGCTCACTCTTTGCAGGCACCTGGAGGAGCTGATGTGAGTGTCTGCCCAGGTGGCCTCTGCCCTCCATGACCCCCAGGCCCGCCTGGCCCTCCCCCTCCCCCAGGGGGCACAGGGCAGCGCGGGGTGGCAGTGCCGCCCGGTGCTCAGCGCTCGTTCCTCTCCTCTTCCAGGCTCGGCCGCAATGCCCTGGGGGATCCCACGGCCCTGGGGCTGGCCCAGGAGCTGCCCCAGCACCTGCGGGTCCTGCAGTGAGTGGCCCTGCCCGCAGTGCGTGGGAGGCTGGGGGGGAGGTGTCCCTGGGAGCAGCGGGCGTCAAGCTGTGGCAGGTCCTGGGGCTGGCCGCCCCTCTCCTGCCTGCGCCCCGGCCTGTGACGTCCAGAGCAGGGAAAGCAGGGGCCCAGGCTAGTCCCCGCTCTGCCACCACCCCTCTGCGCTCCCTTGGCCAAACCCCTGCCCCTTCGGAGCCTCAGTTTCCTCATCTGCAAAAGAAATACGACGGTCCCAGCTCAGCCTGCCCTGTGAGCCAGTCTCCCAGGGCGAATGAGAAACGTCAGCAAAGGGCTCCGTGGGAGAAAGCACCAAGCAGCACGGACTCTGCACTGCACAGTTTAAGTCCGTGGCCTCATTTGAGCCTCGAGGCAGCCCCGTGGGGCCAGGAGTGTTATGTGCTGCCTGTTCCGGGCAAGGGAAGGTGGCCGGGGCAGGTGTGGGGGGCTCCCCTGACTACCACTCGAAGGAGCCGGGCACTGAATTGGGGAGCTCAGACCCCAGAGCCAGGCCCATGCAGCTGTGTGCGCGGGGAAGGGCTCAGGCGACAGTCACCCAGAGACCGTCTGAGATCTGGTGCTGCAGCCTGAGACGAGGCTGGCGGGGGGGGGGGGGGCTCAGGAAAGGACCCCGGCCCCCCAGGCTCCCCTCACCCCTTCCCCATTCCCCAGCCTGCCATCCAGCCATCTGGGCCCGGAGGGGGCGCTGAGCCTGGGCCAGGCGCTGGATGGCCGCCCACACGTGGAGGAGATCAGGTGCGTAGGGGCTGCCCGGCCTGGGCAGGGGACAGGCCAGGGAGGGACCAAGGGCTCACAGCGATCTCCCCTGTCCTGCAGCCTGGCAGAGAACAGCCTGGCCGAGGGCGTCCCCCACTTCTGTAAGGGGCTCCCGATGCTCAGACAGATGGAGTAAGTCACCTCCCCTGGCTGGCTGGGGACCTGCGGGGGAGGGGGGCAGCCCCTCTGTGCCCGAGCCTGACACCCGGGGAGGCCTTGGAAGAAGCCACCCTCAGGGGGGCGTGGGGGCTGGGTCGAGAAAAAGGAGTGGTCTGTCCACCCTGCCCGGGGCCTGGCCCCTCTGACCCCTCCTGCTCTGACTTCGGGAAAAGGGGACCTGCCGGAGGTGCCCCCCACTCAGACACCCCCAATCCATCCCCTTCCCCATCCGCAGCCTGGTCTCCTGTAAGATTGACAACCAGACCGCCAAGCTCCTCGCCGCCAGCTTCCTGCTCTGCCCGGCACTGGAAGTCATCTTGTGAGTGAAGGGAAGAGCCCTGAGCTGGGGAAAGCAGGTGTCTGGCGGGGCGGGGGTGGCCGCAGCCTGCCGTGTGGCCTGGAGCTGCTCCCTTCCTCTCCGGCCGGAAACCTCCCCTCCAAGACGTTTGAACCCTTGCGCTGCCACTTAGCTTCTCCTGCCCGTCTCCCCATCTGGAATGCTGGGGGGGGAGGGGGGACCGACGGTCTCTAAAGGTCCTTTGCCCCTGACTGTCCCTTTGGGAGGCAGCTGGACAGACACCTTGCCTGGCTCACGAAGCCTCCATCCGTGAGCCACTGTTGGTGTGAAGTAGGGCTGAAGCCCGCAGGGACCCCACCCCGGACAGCCTGCTGGCTGTGCCCGGCCCCCCCTCAGCAATCAGCACCCCCCAGACTTGGGGATGCTCAGCGCCACTGCATGGGTAAACCAGACTCCAGGACTAGCCCGGGACCCAAATCACAGTATAGAAAATGCCATTTCCTAAAGTGCAGGACACAAATGATCACAGGATGATTTCAGTTTGCACCCTAAAGGTTCTAACCCTCCTCGTTATACCAAAGGGAAAGTCGCAGGTGGGTGCTAACCTGTCCTTAACACCTGACACTAGTGATTCGCCTTTTTTTTTTTTTTTTTTTTTTTTGAGACAGAGTCTCACTCTGTTGCCCGGGCTAAAGTGCCGTGGCATCAGCCTAGCTCACAGCAACCTAAGACTCCTGGGCTCAAGTGATCCTCCTGCCTCAGCCTCCCGAGTAGCTGGGACTACAAGCATGTGCCACCATGCCCAGATAATTTTTTCTATATATTTTTAGTTGGCCAATTAATTTCTTTCTATTTATAGTAGAGATGGGGTCTCGCTCTTGCTCAGGCTGGTCTCAAACTCCTGAGCTCAAGCGATCCTCCTGCCTCGGCCTCCCAGAGTGCTAGGATTACAGGCGTGAGCCACCACGCCTGACGATTCTCCCTTTTTTAACCAAAAGGGGCAGGCCGCTACCCAGCACCTTAGGAAGGACGTAGGTTCCAGAGAGAAGTTAATACTGTCGTTTGCATTGTATTTATCCTTGTCACTACCCTCTATTTTGAGTCCTAAGCCCAGGTTTTCCATTAGTAATAGCGATAAATGTTTTCCTTTTAAGATTAATTTCTTATAGTAAGAAAAAGGCGGGGGAGGGCCAATTAAAAACTGTGACACACGGTAACGGGGGAGGCGCGTGGGTGTGGCACGAGTCATGGCGGAGCACGGTGGGAGTTTGATCATGAGGGGCATCTGTGAGCCACGTGCTCTGACTGCCAGCCCGAGCCTGGGACCCTCGGGACGCCGATCGGGGTCCTTGAGCTCAGGAATGGGGTGGGGGTGGGGGAGTGGGGAGGAGGGACCCACCTGGGCCCTGAAGTCTTCAGGGGAGGGTACGCAGCACCCCATCAGGTGGCCTCTCGCACTCCCCCCACCATTGGCCCCAGCCCTGCCCACCCACTGCCCTGTCTCCACGGCTCGACCTCCCTGCTGTCTTGCCGCTCACCTTGGGCCCCCTACCTTGCAGGCTGTCCTGGAACCTCCTTGGGGACGAGGCGGCTGCCGAGCTGGCCCGGGTTCTGCCGCAGATGAGCCGGCTGAAGAGAGTGGAGTATGAGGCGCACATCCTGGGGGCAGGGGGGCGGGGAGGGCTCGTGCGCTCTGGGTTCCAGCTTCAGCCTTCGTGCTGCACCCGCCATGAGCCCCCTGAGTCTGCGAGTCCCTGGGAAGGCGGTGTGGGGAGACCTCCCTGCCAGTCTCATGCCTGTCTTTCCCTGTCCCCTTCCCTGTCCTGCTGCCCACCGGAAAGCCTGGAGAAGAATCAGATCACGGCTCGTGGAGCCCGGCTCCTGGCTGAAGGGCTGGCCCAGGGGTCTGGCGTCCAAGTCATCCGGTAACAGAGGCTTGCAGGGGCTGGGATGGCAGGAGGGAGGCCACCCCGGCTCCCAAAGCTAAGGGGACTCCCTGCAGGAGGAGGCAGGGCCTGGGTTGGAGATTATCAAAGGAGACTTGGACCACTCCACCAAGAATTTGACAGCAAGCAGACCTGGATCAAATCCCAGCTCTGCTATTTGCCAATTGTATGATTTAATTTGAATTGTATAACTCAACCTCTCTGAACCTCAGTTTTCTCATCTATAAAGTGAGGATATTGATAGTATCTACCTCAGAGAGTTGCTATGAGGACTAAATGAGCCTATAAACACTGAACCCAATGCCTGGCACATAGTAAGTACCTAAAATGGTAGCTATAATTAGAGCAGCCACATACAGTTGTTTAGGTTGTGCACTGCACAAAGGCATTGCCTTCAAAGGACATCATTCACATCATAGACACATTAGATTTCTAGTAGATGGTAGGAAACAGTCGTCTTCTACCAAAATCAGTACATTATGACAATTTCAGACAGATGGAAGTAAAGTACCTTAACAAAGGGGAGCCTTTATCTTATGTACACAAACGTGTCATACAAGCATGGCTCCGGCTGGGATCACTGGCTGTCAGGGAGGCAGACTGCAGGGGAGAAGTCAGGAGGGGGGTGTGGGAGACACCGCCCCCCTACGCAGCCAGGCCGGCCTACTACCTCCTCCGCTGGCTAGCTCTGGGCACAGCTCTTGCCCTGTCAGGCCTCGGTGTCCTAGTGTGTAGACAGGACAAGGGGTGGGGACAAGAGGATGCACGAGCAGCTCCCAGGGCTCAGTGCCTGTCTCTGTGCCCCGCAGCCTCTGGAGTAACCCCATCCCTGCCGCCGTGGCCCAGAGTCTGCAGGGCCAGGAGCCCAGGCTGGACTTTGCCTTCTTTGACAAGAGCCCTCCGAATACTTGACGGCCCCCTCGAGACCTTCGGAATCCGGCCAAGCGATGCCAGCCTCGCCCACCGGGACAGAGGGATCAGGAGAGCCTCAGCGGGGTGCCCAGGAGGGAGGGGCATGTTGGTCCTGCCACAGTCCTCAGGGAGGACGTTTTTGGGGACCGAGAGCCTGGTCCGGCCAAGGGAGCACTCCGCATCCCATGTGACATGAGTGACCAGTTGGGGACATGTGGCGCCATGAGGGTGCCATGACATAATACGTGACACGTAAGGTTATACGCGGCAGTATGACCTGACATATGGCATTCCCGAAATGTGCAAGGTGGCACATGTGGTCCATAGCTGGGTCTCAGCGCCACAAGTGGCAGGAGGCATGGCTGGCGACCCATATATGACACATGACAAATGTCCATGTCACATGACACGTGGCTGCTGGCTGACCTCAGGTTGGCTCAAGATCTAATTTATTACTTTTTAAACCAATGTGTATTTATAGATTGCACTTCCGGCTTGGCTGAGCCGGGGAAAGTCTTCTGCTCTGAGCTGGGAGGGGACGAGTATCCACGCACTGCCCGGCCAGTGGCCCAAGGGCCAGGACTCAGGCTACCAGGGACTCAGCCATCAGGTCCCCTCCTGCTTCGAGCCTCCGTTTCCCATCTGCAAACTGGATTATCTGTCTCCCCCGTAAATAATGGCTTCCAAGGACTTTGGGCCCAGGTCTAGGCAGATCCAGCCTGACCTTGGGAGTGACATACCCAGTTTATCCTGCGTAGAGGACACAGCCAGGTCTGACGGCGGGAGTGTGCACTGCTACGACGACGTTTAGTCCAAACCACTGGATCCAGCTCCTACCTCAGCGGGAGGCGCGTGCGCCCCAGGGGCTCCACGTGCTACAGTGTTCTTGTTCCTTCCAAGGGGACCAAGGGTGGCCCTGCTCTACTCTAAGCCTGCAGTCCCCAAGCCCCGGGCCCTGGCCCAGAACCCGCCTGAGCTCTGCACCACACCCCTCACCCCATCCCCGGCCCGTGGAAAAGTTGTCTTCCGTGAAACCAGTCCCTGGTGCCAAAACGTTTGGGGACTGCTGCCTAAGCCAACTTTGATCAATAAATATGGTTGGTCTTCCACTTCTAGCCTGAGTCTGATGTTGCCTGCTACCCCACCAGGGTCGGCAGTGGTTCACCCCCTGCCCCGGGGACTGGAGACAGAGCGGACAACAGAGAGGTATGCACTGGCCGGGGAGTCAGGAGACATGGGTTCAAGTTCAGGGTCAGTACCATGACCTTGGGCAAGTTACCTCCTCTCTCCAGCCAGACCTCACCTGGTATATAAAGGTGTTAGAGAGGCTCAGTGAGAGAGTATTATAGAAGCTCAGGAAGTTAGAAAACAGTTGATATTTGACTTGCATAATATTTAAACTGTTTTCTAAATTAATTGTCATATTTCAAATTGGGAAGTTTTACATAAAAATCCAGACCCTGGTTTCTTTTAAGTGCTAGTCCAGCATTCCTACTCAAGAGTAGTAATCTGCGGGAGCCATGTGACCGTACCTTTTTTTTTTTTTTTTGAGACAAAGTCTCGCTTTGTTGCCAAGGCTAGAGTGAGTGCCTAACTCACAGCAACCTCAAACTCCTGGGCTTAAGCGATCCTGCTGCCTCAGCCTCCCAAGTAGCTGGGATTACAGGCATGCACCACCATGCCCAGCTAATTTTTTCTATATATTTTTAGTTGGCCAATTAATTTCTATTTTTAGTAGAGACGGGGGTCTCGCTCTTGCTCAGTCTGGTTTCAAACTCCTGACTTTGAGCAATCCATCCGCCTCGGCCTCCCAGAGTGCTAGGATTACAGGCATGAGCCACCGCGCCCGGCCTACTGTGCCATTTATATGGGGCACATACCCCCAGTTTGCTGCAGTCCGCACCTCTCCCCATTGTAACACCCCCTCCCCACTGCCTGTGGCTTGCTGGGTCCTTGTGGAAGCCTGCAGACCTCTGGCCTAGAGGGTTTAACATGGCTTTGGAAGTCAGACAGGCATGGAATAGAGTGTGACTGAACCCCTTGCGAGCCATCTTTGGGGGCAGTAACTGTGTACGTCGGTTAGTAACATCTCCGACACACCCCCCGGGGACCGTTGAAGAGGTCAGGGCAGCAAGGCGTGCAAAGACCCTGGCACAAAGATGCAAAGACTGGTCGCATGCTAGGTCCCTTCCCTTTTTAGGGTTGGACATCACATGACAGGGAGAGATGCCTGCAATGACAGATGAGCACGCTGTCCTGCAAGTGGGTAGAGCTAGTTCATATTCGGGCAGCCTCCCGCTCCGTTGTGAGAAAACGAGGCCCGGAGGGTGCAGTTACGGCTGAGCACCACCAGAGGGCAGGCTGGCCCACTGGCGATGGCTGAGATCACACTTGGACCCAGAAGGAAGTTAGGAGGTGATGCTAGCGGCTGGTGCCACCTGGCCTGGGAGCCTGGGCTATCCCAGCCTACTGGTGGCTCACCCAGATGACTTGGCCCCGACCTTTGCCGCCCTCCACGTTGTTCCCGGCCCCCCGCCAAGCACGAGGAGAAAGTCCTCCGGCGGAGTGCCAGGCACCCACACCTCATGCCGGGACACCCTTATCGGGCCAGGGTCAGGGCACACCTGGCACCCCACGGGGCCACCAGCCTGGCCATGGGGGAGGAAGTAGGCAGGCAGAGAAACCAGGAGGTTTACCCGGACACGCTGGGCCCCAAATTCTGTCTCCCTTTCCTGAGACACGACGACAAGCTGACCTGGGGCCTTCACGAGAAGGGGTGCCCTCCCTGCCTGAGGCTGGAGCACGAGCCCCTCAAAGTCTGGCAACGCCGTGACAAGGGAGTCGAGACTGAGGAGGGAACAGAGAGTACCAGCCAGAAACGCCCGGCCAGGAGAAATGTACCCAACGCAGGGGGGACCCAGAGCTCTGGGACCCTATTTTCATTTGCTGCGTATCCATTTCGCTTTTCTCTCTCTCTCTCTCTTTTTTTTTTTTCTCCTTTATCTCTGCCCAAATTCTGCACTCCAAGAAACTTTCAGCAGCTTCCCTGCAATAAGCCACAGTATTGTCAGCAGGCAGAGCTGGCTTGGCCCGTATCAAGTTGGTGTGAAATCGCGTTGTTCATTTTATTAAGAAACTTGCTCTCCTGCCACCTGCCTGCTTGGAGGGCTCCACTGTTTTTCTCTCCAACACTGATGTGATCCAGTCTCCCTGCCCCCTTCCTCCCAAAAGTAGGCTCAGTTTAAACACACACATGAAAACAAAATTCAAAGAGAAGTAAAAGCTAGGGGCCAGCAAGCAGCGTGATCAGAACGACACTCCTGGTTTCCGCACGTGAGTTTTCTCCTTGTCCCCAACACGCGGCTGTCCGCAATCCACGGTCCGGCCAGTACTTCCCAAGCCGTAAAGCTGCAGTTATAAAAACTGTAATGTGCATCGAGTCACCTGGGGAGCATGTCACTAGGCAGATTCTGGTCCTGCAGTCTGGGGCGGGCCTGGGGTTCAGCATTTCTAAGGACCGCCCCCACCCCAAGTGACGGCCGTGCTGCGGGACCCCACTTAGCTTAGCGAGCCTGTAGACTGAGCGGATTGCAACCCTGACCGCACATTAGAATCACGTGGGAACTTTTTCATACACCTGTTTTTAAAAAGGAGCCTTTAGAAAGCTCCCCGAGTGACTCTAACGTGCCCCACAGTGGGGACCCGGTCTGGAGAGTGCTGTCTCTTGGAGAGGCAGGCAAGCCTCTACACCTGGCCCCCTTATTTTGTCCTGAGGGTCCTTGTGCCCCTCCTTGCCCAGATGAGCAAACTGAGCCCAGAGATTTTTTCCTAACTTTCCCAAAGATACGCAGCTGGTAATTGGTAGCACCGGGAATCGAACCTGGGTCTTTGTGATTCTCTGTGATCACCCACAGGTGATGCCCCAGTTTCCTCACCTGTATAGTAAGGGCAAAATGAGAGAAGGCATTCTCAGAGCAAAATGAAAGAAAGGACCTACTTTCCTTGGCTGCAAAGATGACCTTATGACTCATTCCTGTATCCTCCTGGGGAGAGTTCTGGATCCTCTGTCCCCTGCCCTGCCTGGTTATGTCCCCTGCCCTGCCTGGTTATGTCCCCTGCCCTGCCTGGTTATTTCTGTAGAGCCTCACAGCATGATCGTCTATAGACCCATGACAACAGCCACGGGAACAATCCCGTCCATTTCGCAAATGAGAAAACTGAGGTGCAAAGAGGGATCACGACTTGATCAAGGCCACACAGCAAGTATTTAGTGGGGATCGGATTCCAAGCCTGGCGCAGAAAGGAAAGGGAGACCTTGAGGCGGTGCTGGGCTGGGGATCTAACGGCAGCCTGCAGGGGTGTGTGTTCCTAGCGAGAGGGGCCCTCGGGGAAGGTGGGCGGGCCATGCACTTGGCTTCTGCTCTCAACCCCACCCTGCATGGCCAAGGCCAGGCCTGAGGCATGGTGGCCGCAGCCAGGGCAGGACACGCCCTCTGGACACATCCGGAGGTTCCAGGAGAGACTGTTCAGCAGCTGGTTTGGTAAAGATCCTCCCCGGGCTGGGCTCAGGAAGTCAGTTCCAGGGACAGCTGGTCTTCCTCCAGCTCACAGCCACCCAAGTGGAAAACTCCGGCCCCACCCGTGTGTCCAGAACCTTCCCCCGGCCCTTGGAAGCCACACCCGGTGTCTCACCCCACACACCCCAAACCCACCCTAGCCGCTCAGAAAGGCACCTTTGCTCTAGGAAGGAGGGAACAGAAGGGAGCTTTCTCCCGAGGCCCACTGGGGTCCCCTGGGTCAGGAGCCCCAGTCCCCACCACACATGGCCACACACGCATGCTCCAGTGCAGGGTGACAGCTGGGGACATGTCTGGGCTGACAGGAAGGGCTGGGAAGACCTGCCAACCCTGCATCAGAGTGACCACAACCCTGGAACTTAAAAATAGCGCTCACACACCAGCCCCAGTGTCTACACACGCCTGGCACTGAGCTGGCCAAATTGCAGTCTCGCCGAACCCTGTCTTGTTAGTTCTCACAACCATTCCATGGAGCGAATACTAAGTCTGTCCCACTTTACAGAGGAGGAAACTGAGGCCCAGAGGAGTGACTGCTCTCACGCAGGCAGTGCCTGGAGTGGCTGGGATTCGAACCCACGACCACGACTCCGTGCCTGAGACTTGGCACTGGAGTCAGCCACCCCTGCCTCTAGCCAGGGGCTCCTTGAGGGGACGTCTGCTTCACTGATATGTTTCCATCTGAACCCCCTGCGGCAGATGGGACTTTCTCAAGACGGGCATCACAGTATCTTCCATCCCACATGCTCTTCCTACTGTGTGACAGTGCCACTCTTCTGTGACTGCAACAGAAGCCACATTCTGTGACTTCCAAGGCTACGTCCCATAGAAGTGACAAAGCTTCCACTTGGTTCTCTTGGGACGCTCACTGTTGGAACCAGGCACCGTGCCACAAGGAAGCCGGGGCCACGTGGAATGGTCACGGCTAGGTGTTCCAGCTGACAACCAGCACCACCTGCCAGACATAAGTGTGAGAAAGCCTTCTAGAAACTTCCAGCCCCAGGCATGGTCTGACTGCAACTACAGGAGGAACCCCGGGCAAGACCTGCCCTCAGGCAGCCCGGTGGCCCCTCGGAGATGGAAGAGAGGAGGTTTGGGGTGATCTGTGACACAGCACAGATAACAGGGACACCCTCCCTCCCCTCCTGCCCCCACACACCTGCGGCCCAGCAGGTCCGGGTACACAGGTGGCGCTCCTGCAACGCGCCTTTAACCCCCTAGTGTATGGACAACCTTGGCTATCCTGCTCTGTCCAAAGTGCCCGGACTTTAAAATAAACTCCCAGATGGTAGACACTGACACACACACATACAACTTCTGATATTTTATTCCCGGAAATAAACCTCCCGGGTTTATTTCCGGGAATTTGGGCCTCCCACTGTGCACAGAGAGGTCTCCGCCAGGGCAAGGAAAGAGTTCTCGTGTCGTGTGCGGATCGAGTACAGAGCGTGTAGACAGTTTTATTGAGATATAATTCACATCCCACGACATTCACCCCCTTAAAGGATGTCAGTGGTTTTGAGCGTATCTTCAGT